ATATGCATGCATAGTGTAAATGATGCGACACGTGCAATTTTGTGATACAGTGGCGTAGCAGACAGCTTTTGCAAGGGTTAGCTACGCTTCGCTTTCCAAAGGATTCTGTGCAGGGAAATCTTTTCCCAGAGACTAGAAAAATCTTTGTGCATGAAAAATAATAAAATCACAAACAGCATATATATCTTTCATACATATCTTTCTTGTTCAAAATTCCTTATAATGAAGTGTTATAAATGTGTCAAATATGCACTCAAAGTTCCCATGACGTTTATCAAAATGAATAAACACAACGAAAATGTTCAGTTGCATTTATAAACTTAATAAATGTACGTTACTCACTATTTTCTTTACGCTGTTCAGAGTTCAATAAAATATGGGCTAATTGGGGTATTAGTGCTGTGCCAGCTTTACTCGTACCTATGTGAACCTAACCTGCTCAACTCTAAACAGATTCCAATAATACAAATATATACTATATAGGAGACATTAATATGGCATTTCACACATATATATATATATATATATATATAGTTGTTATGTGTGTATATGGCTTTAACAATATTTGGGTTCCCAACGATGTTTCGATGCCTTTATCCATGCCTCTGTCTCCTTGCTGACGTCGACAATTCCGAGTCCGAGTCCAACAATGTTGTGCTGGCTATAATAATAAAATAAAACATTATGCAGCTCTCAGATCGGGCAATACGACAGACAGTTGTTGCTCTCATTTGTGGAGGTTTTTTTTATTGTTTTTTTTTTTTCTTTTTGTTTTCCACTTGTTGCGCTGTCTGCGACTGTCTGTTAGTTCCCCTATAAAAATATACATATATATGTGCATATAAATATATACATATATATGTGTATATAGTATATGTATGTAAATTATGTATTTTCGTGTGGCTTGGCAAGTGTCAAGTTCAAGGAAACTGCAGAGCTTGTCATTAGTTAAAAACGTGTTTCCATTTGCTTGCTCAGGCAGAAATGAAAGATTTGCACTTGCTTGGAGTGGATTGGATTGGTTTGGAATTGAGTTTGAATTTGGATTTGGATTTGGATACGGTTGGGCAATTGATTGAATGAAATTCGAAGGTTGCATTTTGGGTGTTTTTTGGTTTTTTATTGCTGCCATTTCAATTGAAGGAATGTGTGAAACCCTAACCTGACCAACAGCTAAATAACTTATGTTACCAAGCACATATTGGGTTATTGGGTCTATGGATTAATTCAGCGAATACGATTTTCATTAAATGTTAAATACTGACATTTGAGTACCCATATATCTCTTGAACTCTTGAACAACCACAAATGATATCATATTAAATATGCACATGATATCATTAAAAATTACAAAATGTGTAAGAAATCCATTAGAATTGGGATATTTTATAAATGGAATAGATTTGCCCATCACTCGATATATACATGTTTATATGCATATAGATCAAGTTTAAAATGATAACATATTGTTAAAATTAAACAAAGTAAAAGAAAAATAAATATAAATGATATATTCTAATAAGAATAGATAATTCCATCACTCGCTTAACACTTATACTAATTGTATATGCATATAGATCAAGTATTATATTATTCAAATGAAATCAGTAATTATTCAAAAAAAAAAGTGATAGAAAACTATCTAATTAATGATATTACTATTGGAATAGATATTTACGTCACTCGCCTAACACTTAAAGCGATTCCATAGACATTTTGTATATGCAGTAAATAAGTGCAACAAACTTTCTATAGTCTCATCAAATGTAGCACATGGAACGATTGGTCGTCAAGATCTCATCATTATAAATAGTATGCATATTAGATTTGTTTCGCAGGTCAGAAATCTATTTGTGTTTAGAGAGTTGCATTATTTTCGGAAACAGATTCCAGAAATTATTGAGTGCAATTGTTCTACGGGTTAACTATGCCAAGCAGTCATACTCCTAACAACATACACACACACAACATACACCTGCCATATGCATTGTGGATTTTATTTTTGGGCCTTTGTCTGTGTTTTCTCGACTTTTCTGGTTAACCACACAGAGAACATTTTTTTTTTATTTTCTTTTTTTTTCGAAAACATTTTGTTGGATAGTTTCTTGGTTTTTATTTCATAGATTGTTTAGATTTAACGCTCTAATTTTCTGTCTTGCACGTCATGTGTGCATATATACATATATATATATTTATATATGTATTCCATTAACACATGGCTTGATCGGGCTTAATTCTGAGAAGTCCCCGTTTTGGTTTGATGCATTGCAATATTTGATTAGCAGTCAATGCTTTGAACTTTTTCAATTTTGTGTACCTGATGTGTGCGTGCAGCAAACAAGTTGCACTTATTATTTATTAGCATTCAAAGCAACATTTTTCATTTTTACTTTGCTGAAAAATTCGCATGGCACAGAAGAAAAAAAACAAGAACAATTTTGACACTAATTTTCCAGCGCCGGCAAATATTAAACTCAAGAAAAAAACATACGTGCAACATGTGTGCGTTTTTTTGGCATCACTTTTCTTTTTTTTGTGTTTCGTTTTTGCTCTTGTTTCATCTTTGAATAATGTTGTAGAATTGTTGGAAAGTTGATTGCGAGAGACCCCAACGACGCTCAAAGTCATAGGCAATAAATGTTCGTGATTTTTAACTAAACGGCGAATTATGTCAACTCTAAAAATATATTTTTGTTGGATTCGCAAGCAACAACAACTAAACAAATTAAGGATGTTTATAATAGGCATTTGAACGCCACAGATGTGTGTCGCCAAGTTATTTGATGAACAACTCATCACTTTTATGGCACATGTCACAAATATATGTATTTTGGAAGATAATGTCTCGAATTTTACGAGAAATGAATGCGTTTCTTTAATGATCACTTCAAGTGCCTGGAACGGACGTTGAGAGCCTACCAAATTGGGTTTATGTGCTGGGTAATTTCAAATATTCTGCCCATTTTGGGATCGTAACTGATACTGCATGTCTATAAGTTTATTCGCCATTATTAATAATTCAATTAGGTCTAGGAATACAAGGCTGGAAAGACTCTTGTCGAGACTAGATTTTGTAGTTGACCAGTAATATATCTGAGTATATTCCATATCAATTGGTAGGCTTTATCTTTATTGCTGTCGGAAATCGATTTGTATCGACAAAAACTGAATTCGAAGCTCAAAAAAGTCTCAGAGAATGGCTTGCTTTAGTAATGCTGACTAAGAATATATATTTATTCTATATCAGTTATTCTTTACGGAATCATAGATGCATATAAAAATGTCTAATTTGAAAAAAATGGAACAAAGAAATATAAGCGATTTCTATAAAATATATTAATAACAAGAAACCAAAGCTTAAACTTGAAGTGTAAATTGTTAAAGGATTTGTTGCAAAAATTCAGGATGAAAAAATCGCGATCGCGAAAAAATCCTCAAACATAGCCTCAAATTTTATATCCTCTAAAGGATATTTTATTATTTTTAAATATAGATGATATTCAGTTATTCCCCCTGAAGGATTACTTTTGGTAACTGATGCTGCTTCATATTTGCACAATGCCCCGATTAGTGTCCGTTTCAATGAGTGTTCTATGCGCTCGAACAATTGCAACGCGGGGGCAGCTGCAACAACGAGAACAAATAAGAAACAATGGAAATGGCAAAAATACATATACATAGATACATTTGTGCAAGTGTGTGTGTGTGTGTGTGTATTAAAGATTATCTCATTGTAACGGAAATAGTGCAATTAAAGCACAAATTTAAGTATGATCGCTAGTTGCAACGCAGGCTACTTGCTGCTGCAGGCGCACTTGCCACAAGTTGCACACATTCCATGCACCCGCAATTGTTATTGTTACGACTAATGGCCATAATCAGAAAATATCTAAAGTGCATAAGGCATTGCATACCAGCCCATTAAGTGTGTATTATTGCATTGCATTGCTTCTGCTCAGTGCTTGCTGCTCACTGCTCTCAATTCGAATTGCATCTAAAAATATATAACAAATTCAGTGTTCAGTGTTCAGTATTCAGTATTCCATTCGCTTCTAGTTTTGGTTTCCTTGCACATCTGATATATGTGGCAGTTAATTGAAGTGCAGCCTTGTCACTTTTATAATTGATGCCAAAACAAAAAATGACAGATTCCAATTTGTAAATCTAAACTTTTATCTTTTTCCAACCCGCAACCATAAGAAATGTGTAAAAAGGGTATACTGGATTTGAACTAAAGCATGTAGTAGGCAGTGGTATACGAGTATATATTCCTGATCAGCATTAACAGACGAGTCCAAATGGCCACGAGTATCTCAGAGACTATGCGAGTTAGAGACTTTAAATTTAATTCGAGTTAATTTGATTTGATCGATAACAGTCCCGTCTCGCAAATATCGATACTTATCGATTTCCATTTCCCACAATTTTAAACTGCCAACTGATATACAATGTTGATCAACTATATGCAATAAAATCCATTTAATAACACAGATTTGTTTTTCTAAGCGTATTTTTAAATTAATAATTAATAATTTATATATAATATTATTGATCAACTGCACAAATTTCGTCAAGATCCGATAAGAAACAGCCTAGTTTGAGTACAACCAACTTGTAAAGGCAAATTTGGCAATAAAAATATAATATATAGTTACGAGTTACCCTTTTTTTTGGGAAATAAACTGGGTAAACTAAAGTGAAGCTGTTAAAATTATATAAATTAATGTGTATCAGTCTCAGTTAATAAAAAACGACAGCCTGGCAATATGGAGAGGAGTGTCCGATTCGAATTAGGACAATCAGTTCATTTCACAAATCATAAATAAAACTATGAAGCTCAATTGAGAATGATGACAGCGCTAATCAATGGCAATCAGGGCTCGATCGAAGCGAAGAAATTCAATTAGTTGTTGTATTTCGATTCAAATATTTGTAGATATATTTATAATAGTCATAAGAAGTGGAAGCAGTTAGTCTCATGGCTTGTTAACCGATTTCAGACTTGCAACAACACGATATGCGACTGCAAGGGCATCAAGGGACGTATTGGCTCCCCCGGTTTGATGGGCGTGCCCGGTAGTGAAGGCTTTCCAGGCGATGTGGGACCTGAAGGCCCCGCTGGTTATTACGGCGAGAAGGGCGACTCCGGCGAATACGGCGAACAGGGCGAAAAAGGGCATCGTGTAAGTGAATCAAAATGTGTACACAAAACTTGAAATATATATATCTGAAATTGAATATTTCTAGGGTAATGTTGGACGCAAAGGTGGCATAGGTTCCGTGGGCGCTCCAGTAAGTATATCGTCTCAGTTTAGTTAGTTCGAAGGAAAATCAAACTAAACGCAAATGTTTTGCTGCAGGGCATTAATGGTGAGGATGGCACGAATGGACCGCGCGGCATTGATGGCTGCGATGGCGCCGATGGTGCCCAGGGTGCGGCTGGTTCGCCCGGTGCGAATGGTCCCCGCGGACCCATGGGCAAGACCGGTTCGCCCGGTGCAACTGGTGATGCCGGCGAGGGTGGCATCAACTCCAAGGGCACCAAAGGTAATCGCGGCGAGTATGGCAGAAATAGCAGAGAGGGCCCCGCTGGCTTCAAAGGCGTCACTGGCTACAAGGGTGACATTGGATTCGCTGGCGTTGAAGGCCTGAAGGGTGAGCAGGGACCCCAGGGCTACAAGGGTGAAGTGGGCGTGCCCGAGAGCTATCCAATCATGCAGGGCGAACAGGGCGAGAAAGGTGATCCCGGCGAGAGTGAGCCGGGTGCTCTCACCTTCGATGAGACTCACAAAGGTGACAAGGGATTTATGGGTAAACGCGGCGATATTGGTCTACCTGGCTATTCCGGTGAGCCCGGACAATATGGACGTGATGGTCCGCCTGGTGCCGTAGGCGACAAGGGCGAACGTGGCGAGCGTGGCAAGCATGGACGAGATGGTGTTGAGGGCGGACCCGGTGACAAGGGCGTCAAGGGTGCACCCGGCTACAATGGACTAGATGGCGAGCATGGCAAGCCCGGCTACGTTGGCGAGGATGGCATCGACGGTACGCCCGGCATTCAGGGTCCGCACGGATCACCTGGCATATATGATCCCACATTGGACATATCACTGCCCGGCACCATGGGATCCCAGGGTGATTTAGGACTACGCGGACCACCCGGTCTGGACGGCATTCCCGGCAAGCAGGGACGTCGCGGTCTCCAAGGCCGGCCAGGCCCACCCGGTGACGAAGGACTCAGCGGCAACCGGGGTCCACCCGGCCGCAGTGAGAAGGGCGAGGATGGTGATTACGGGTTGATGGGACCACCCGGTCCCCAGGGCACAATCGGAGTGGCGGGTCCACCGGGTCGCAAGGGCTTCCAGGGCAGGACCGGTCGCAGCATGTACGGACCGAAGGGTCAAGCAGGCCAAAACGGTATACCCAGTGCCGATGGCTATCGCGGCGATCGTGGCGAGCGTGGCTTTGCCGGCGAGAAGGGTCTGGCCGGCGAGGGTCTGAACATTGTGGGACCACCCGGTCTGCAGGGACCGCCCGGTAAGCGGGGCAGCCATGGCCTGGATGGGCGTTACGGCTACCGAGGACCACCCGGTGACAAGGGCATACGTGGCGATGACTGCGGCATCTGTCATGCCGGACCGCCTGGCCAAAAGGGTCTGGCCGGCGATGGTGGCTATCCGGGCGATCATGGAGCACGTGGCTTGGCCGGCATTACGGGAGCACGCGGCCCCAAAGGCATCAGCGGTAATCCAGGCAAGCGTGGCTACCAGGGCGCACCCGGTTGGAGGGGTTCGACGGGCATGGACGGTACGCCCGGCCAGAAGGGCACACCGGGTGAGCGGATAATAGTCGGCAGTCTAGAGGCACCCGAAAAGGGAGATGCAGGCGAAGATGGACGACGCGGCGAACAAGGTGCCCAGGGTGATCGGGGTCTGAACGGTTGGGATGGCATAAAGGGCGCTAAAGGTGAAGCCGGTATTCGTGGTGATTTCGGTGAGCCGGGACGACCGGGCGAGGATGGCTCACCCGGTCGCGATGGTCCCAATGGCATACCCGGCAAACCTGCTCCCACACCCAAGATATATCTAGCTGGCAGTCCCGGCTACAATGGCAAGAAGTGAGTATTCTCCATCCTCAATTCTCCAAAACATACCCAACGAAAACATTTATTTTTTTCTTCGTTTTTTAGGGGTGAACGTGGCGATTTTGGCAGCGAAGGCTTTAAGGGTGACAAAGGTGAACCGCATCCCGGCGAGATAATCGAGAATCGTGGCCAGAGCGGTGATATGGGCTACGAAGGCCTACGTGGTCGTCCCGGACCCAAGGGAGAACGTGGCGAGCTGGGACTCAAGGGTGAAACGGGTGATATGGGCATGCCCGGCAATATGCTCACTGGTGCACACGGCGCCAAGGGCTATAAGGGCGAAAATGGTGACTACGGTCCATCGGGCAAGCCAGGTAATTTTGGACGCGACGGTGAGGCTGGCCTGCCCGGCGTCATGGGCTACAAAGGACAACGCGGTGAACCCGGACAATACATACTGCACGGCGAAATGGGCGACCAGGGACGTGCCGGTATTAAGGGCGTTGTTGGCGACGAGGGACCCATTGGCTATCCCGGAGAAAGTGGCCGGCCTGGACCCAAGGGCCCGAAGGGCATCCGTGGCGATGACGGTCAGTGGGGTCAGGCAGGTCTGCCCGGCAACAAGGGGCAACGCGGCGACATCGTTATCGGACCATCCGGACAGGATGGCGCACCGGGTCGAGCGGGCAGGCAAGCTCAACACGGTGCCAAGGGTGCCAAGGGCAGTGTCGGTGGCATGGGACCAGTGGGTAAGAATGGTGTCAAGGGTAGCATTGGCTACACCGGCCGACGCGGCAATCTTGGCGAGACGGGTCAACTCGGCTTCATCGGTGAACCTGGTCCCAGGGGTCTGCCCGGCATTCCCGGCGAGCAGGGCGATCGCGGCGACATCGGTATCGATGGCCGCAACGGCGACATGGGCAAACATGGCCTCTTCGGCGAAATAGGGCTCAAAGGTGGATATCGGAACGCTTCGTCGACAATCTTCTGTCTCATACTAATAATCTTCTTTTTTTGTAGGCATTGCTGGTGACATTGGTCCATTCGGTTATCCGGGCATCTCTGGTAAGCCCGGCCAAAAGGGACTGCGCGGTGACCAGGGCATGACGGGACGCATCGGTGCCAAGGGTGCCTCCGCCTACAGTGGCAACAAGGGTGAACGGGGCGATGACGCCCGACAGGGACCACCCGGCAACATTGGTGCACCCGGCATCAAGGGTGAACGTGGCGCACCTGGCGAATCACTACCCGCCAACGATGGTCAGCCGGGCTACATTGGCGAAACGGGTCAATCGGGACGCAACGGTTTGAACGGATTGGATGGCCTGAAGGGAGTGCGTGGCGAATTTGGCATGTATGGCAGCGTTGGCATGATCGGTGATCGTGGCGATGATGGTCCCGTCGGCTTTCCGGGTCGCAATGGCATGCCCGGTCTCAAGGGCAGTCTGGGCGAGATTGGACTGCCGGGTTCAGCTGGTCCACCGGGCGATGTCGGCGATATTGGCTACACGGGAATGGTGGGCCTGCAAGGCGACCAAGGGTTGCCCGGTGATTACGGCCTCAGAGGCATCAAGGGTGCACCCGGTGAAATGGGTGACATTGGTGACCGCGGCGAAATTGTCTTCTGGGGCGATGTGGAGGATAAGCGTGGTGAATCCGGCGAGGATGGACTCGACGGACGACAAGGCCTCATTGGTGAGCCCGGCATGACCGGCGCTGCTGGTCTGCCTGGTGCACGTGGCGAAGCTGGTGATATTGGAAGCGCCGGTCAGTCGGGAATGAATGGCCAGCCCGGATTTAAAGGCATGCACGGCGAGAAGGGCATGCGAGGTCCGCCCGGCCTAACGGCGAGTGTTGAGCGCGGCTTGGAGGGAGACATGGGCTACGATGGCATTCATGGTCGTCCAGGCCGAACCGGCCAGAAGGGTGCACCCGGTGAGCAGGGCGAATACGGATTGAACGGTGAGATTGGACCACAGGGACCGGTGCGCATCGGTGCACCCGGTCCACCCGGTGATCACGGCTATCAGGGAGCACCTGGTCGCCCGGGCATACGCGGATCGCCCGGTCCCGATGGCGAGCGCGGCAACACTGGCCGCCAGGGTGATCGGGGTGAGGTCGGCTTCGCCATCCTGGGCAGGCAGGGTGACAAGGGTGACATTGGTGAGGAGGGTGCAGACGGCTCCCAGGGCCATGCCGGAGAACTAGGCATGAGCGGACGTCCCGGTCGCGATGGCATTATGGGACCACGTGGTCCACGCGGCGCAGTCGGTGACGCCGGCTGGAGCGGTATCGATGGCTTGGACGGTCTGCCCGGCACACAAGGTGAGCCAGGCTTCACCTACTCCTACGACTATGCACAGCCCGGCGATCGTGGTGAGCCCGGCAAGGATGGTTTCAAGGGCGAACGCGGCGATGTCGGCGCACCCGGCCTAGTTGGTCGCATTGGCATGCGAGGCTTAATTGGTTATCGTGGCGATGATGGAGAGGTGGGCTTCCTGGGCGCTGATGGCATCCAGGGACAACGTGGCGACAAAGGTGAAATCGGTTTGGCCGGACATATCGGATTGCGCGGAGCGCCGGGTCCACCCGGTGAACCGGCACCAGCACCGCCAGCACCAAAGAGTCGTGGCTTCGTCTTCACCCGTCACTCGCAGTCCGTCAGCATTCCCGTGTGCCCGGCAAACACGAACATGCTGTGGGAGGGCTACTCGCTCTTCGGCAATGTGGGCAGCAGTCGTGCTGTTGGCCAGGATCTAGGTCAATCCGGCTCCTGCCTGATGCGCTTCACAACAATGCCGTACATGTTCTGTGACCTGAACAACGTTTGCAACTATGCGCAGAACAATGACGATAGTCTCTGGCTGTCCACCGCCGAACCAATGTCAATGACCATGACTCCCATTGAGTCGAGGGATCTCATCAAGTACATATCACGGTGAGCCCAAACTGACGACGCCTTCTTTGTTCCTTGTTCATTCAAATGTGCGCTTCTTTCCAGGTGCGTTGTGTGCGAGACCTCGACCCGAGTGATTGCTATGCACTCGCAGACCATGTCCATACCGGACTGCCCCAGCGGCTGGGAGGAGATGTGGACCGGCTTCAGTTACTACATGGTAAGCGATTCCCTCTAATTTAATGCTTAATCTGATTCCTATTGCCCATTCATTCTTTCAGACAACCATGGATAATACGGGTGGAATTGGCCAAAGTCTTGTGTCGCCCGGCTCCTGTTTGGAGGAGTTCCGTGCCAATCCCGTCATCGAGTGTCATGGCCATGGACGTTGCAACTACTACGATGCATTGGCCTCCTTCTGGCTGGCCGTCATCGAGCATCAGGATCAGTTTACGCAACCCCGCCAGCAAACCCTGAAAGCGGATCAGACCAGCAAGATTAGCAGGTAAATTCACAATCACTCATAGAGTAGCGAGTACTTCATTACTTCATCCAATCACTTGTCCCGTAGATGTACTGTGTGCCGTCGTCGTGGCGATAGCTTCTTCAGTGTCAGGCGTACCTCGTCGGCAGACGTCTACAGTAGCTCCGGATCGGGCTCCAGCAGAGGGTTCAGCTCTGAGTCCAACACAGGCTCCAACACAGGTTCCAGCTCAGGCTACAACACAGGCTCCAACACAGGATACAACACGGGCTACAACACGGGCTACAACACGGGCTACAACACAGGCAATTCACGTCCAAGCTCTGGTTCCGGCACGGACTCCGGCTCCCGCTTGGGCCCCGGCCCCGGCACGGGCTTCCGTTCCGTCAATGGTTTCGGCACTGGCTCCGACTCTGGCACGGGCTACGGCTCCAACTCGGGTTACGGGCCCGGCTCCGGCATGGCGAGACTTAGGGCACCGTCACCGGATCCGAGATCCTCATCAGCGCCATCGTCGTACTACGGCTGGAAGACTGGCTATGACAAGGACGGCAACGAGCTCCGCTTTCAGCCGCAATCGTCGGTACGTCAACCACAACCACAACCAGCGCCGGCCAATTACAATCGCGGCTATCAGTTCCCCAATCAATACAATCAATACGGCGCAAATAGGCGCGAACATCGTCGGCGTCCGCGCGACGACACCTCCGCTCCCTAAGTTAAGTAATAAAATAAATAATTACTTCTAAGTCGGTATCACTATATCCGTTAATACTCCTACAACCACCTCTCTCCCACTGAAAAACAAAACGAAAGCGAACCCAAATAATAATAGTAATAATAATGATAATCTATAAAAATAGTGCGAGGCGAAACTACTTCCCATAATCCCACTGCCCAGTTAATAACGTATTTCTATACTTGAGTTCTTCCGCTTCTTCTTTGGGGATCACAACAAAAACAAGCTTACACTTAACCCACAAAGCGAAACAAACATCAAATTTTTAATAAATAAAATGTACACATCATAAAGAACTCTTTCTTCTTTAACAACAACAAAAAAAAAAACAGAAATCAATTTCAAATAAAAAGCATACTTTTAATATAAGAAATAAAATCATTAAAGAATCCATTTAACAAAAATCAAAGCATGCTTACAGGACGAACATTAACATTCGTTGTGCAAACTAAAAAAAAAGGTTCTAACTTGAGCAAATCCTTAATTACTTTCGAAGGATATGCATTAGAATCGTAAGGGTCAACTATATCGAACCGCATTCAGGGATTACGGCGTCATACACTTAAAAATTTCACTCGCTGAGTGCATGAGCGTAAAAAGCCTTGTTTTCTCGGCAACTGCAAGGACGATGTGGACATCCTTTGGTCAGTTGGTAGGTCTGATCAAAATAAATAGTTTGGCATAGAACTCGCTAGGATCCTTAAAAATATATCCGAGTTATGAGCAATTTTCTGTTTTTAAAAATGTCCTGTTAATTCAGCTGATTTTAAGATTTTCGCCCTTTTTATTACTTTATTCGAATCAGGGGTACAAAGGACATCCCAATAGTCCTTAAAATTGCCAAGTTACGCAGGGTATTTAGATTTATCTTATTTTTTCCCTTGTGTAATTTTTACCCAACATTTTTTGTCAAATCCCGTAAATCCTTGAAGACCAATCGATGGACCTTTAAATGTGATCAATAAGGAAATACTTGACTCATAGCTAAGAAGCGAATGTCCTTTCTAGACGGGTCATTTAAGAATCAATCATATTATTTGTAATACAAGAATTTCAAACGTTTCCATTAAATAAAAGAGAGAGTAAAGAAAATAATGGAATGTAAAAGGATACGCCTTTGCATATATTTGGTAGCATCTGCGATTAACAAGTTTTACAAGTGTTACATTATTTGATATAAACCATAAAACAGAGTGCATACACAAACTATTGAGACTAAATTAAATACACAAATTTTTTCTGGGGAGGAAAGAGGGAATTTGTAGATGATACAGATATAATATAGAGGTAGTACACATTATACAGAAATTGAAAGCAAAAATATGCATACATAATTATTTACGCAATATAAACCAAGAGGATAAATCGAATTATGCACGTTGACTTAAATCCCAACCCAATTGTCCAATTGTCCAGTTCCAGTTGTAACCCTTTCTTTCCATTTATTATATTTTTGGTGTTGTTCTTCTAAAGGCCATCAAGTTTGGCGCTTCTCTCCTGCTCGAATCGCACTGAATTACATATACTATTATTATTTAACAAAGTCGGGATTCTCCTGCACGTTCTCGGTGAACTGCAGCTGATTGTCGATTATTTGAAATAGGACCTCCGGCGCCGGAAAGCGACCCGTTTGAATTTTCGACCAAACAGGCACATCGTTCAATGTTATTTCGAAGGCGCCCGACGAGACCAGCTGGCCCTCGAGCATGTTGCCCAGAAAGAAGATCATCATGCAGGCGTAGATCTTATTGGCCTGCAGGTGACTCCACCAGCCCGGCGTGTTCATGCCCAGCCAGGCGAACGGACTCGTCGAACTCACCACGGAAATTATGATGATCAGTTTGAGGGCGAAAATCAGCTTAGAGAGATAATAATTAAGGCCGGGCGGATCATAGTTGTCGCCATGCACCTGTATCTGTGGATACTTTTCACCCAGTATATTCACATAGTCCTCGAATGCCTTGCGGTAGCCGCATGAGTAACTGTACAAAAGGTGAAATCATAATCGAAAGATAAGCGAGATAGATATATAAGTCAAGTCTGCCGTTAGTCTGCATATTTTTGCAGCTTACCAATAAAGAAAAGTCATCGTTGGCGCAACGCTTTGCCCGAATTTGGTGGCCGGTATTTCCTTGCCCTCAAAGGCCAGTGCGTAGCAGGCGCACAGGCAAAGTACGAGCAATGCCACATTCCTACCATTTGTCGACTCCATTCTGCTGTTTCGTATGTATATTTCTCTCTATTTCTTTCGTTTTATTTAATTGCTTATGCAAAGAAATCAGCAATGTCTTCTTCACAAATTGCTATTCAGTGGAAAGTGGAGCGGTGTGTTGATACCGATATGTTATCGATACTTTTGGCTATTGCTATCAATGTATACAGCTAAAATCTATTCTTTTGTTTGCTTTTGCAATTGTAAGTGAACGAAATGCATGTGTTTACAATACATTTACTTAATAACAATTTTGACAATTCATTTGAGTGGAATATTTGTAAATGTGGTTAACTTCTATTTGACATGCAGACGGAACGTGTACTGTGCTCTGCCGAACAGCTGTTGTGACATAACCTGCCTTTCATACTTCAATCAAGAAATGCTGCGCAGAGTAAATAACAATTAAAAAACTCTAAATATATGTATAAAAACTAATATGTTAAACAATTGCAGCTATTGCCCACGGTGCGCTTAGCGTTGCAGCTGCCAAAGCCGACAGTAACCATAATTAGACAAAGCAGCTACAGTGTTTATGAGCCTGATTATCTGGAGGTAAAATAATAATGTTATTCCTCTCAATACTCAATAAAAGTCTTTTTAGTCACTAAAGCCGAAATACCCGCAATATGAGAGCCTCAATGTGCAGATAAAGGGCTACGATTATCCGCTGCTCGAAAGCTATCAGCGTTTTCTGCACAGCGTAGCGGAATATCTCGATTTGGATGTCTCAGATTGTTATGCGCTGCCGCCGCAGCAGACGCAAGTGCAGCGATTACGGCCCAACTCGACGGTTATCGAATCCGATTACAAGCTGACAACCTATGAACGCAATCTGCAGCTGTGCAATGTGGATGCACCAGTTTATCCACAATTTCTGCGCATTGCTCAGGCAGCGCTGCCGGAGGGCGTTCATCTGACTGTGGCGGAGCACACGGATGAATGTGAGGAGCGTCGCTATGTGCCCGATAAGGATCTGCTCGATCTCAAGGCGGAACTGGAACGCATGGGCGGTGCCACGCCTACGAAAAAGAAATAGGCGCATACTGTTTTTGTTTTTGATTTTGGCATATGTTCAAATATTAAAATCTAGTTTAAATCTGCATAAAGTTTAAAGAAAGCAAGAAATATTTATGTATAAAAAAGGAGAACTTTCCTATTTAAAGCTTTGCACTAAGTGGACGGCAACGGGTTACGCACTTGGAAGACACTCGGAATCCGTAAGCTAATCTAGTCTAATTAATTGCACTATAAAATATATGTATATGTATCCGGTTAGACAACACCAAAATGCACCACTTTGATGGAAGAAGATGAGCTCGGCGTGGCTTTGCTGCTGCTCGTCGATTCCTCCTCCCGGCGACGTGTTGGGGGCTTGCTGACATCTGCAATCGAGATGTGCATATAAGTGGGGCAACAATAATGATATATATATATATATATGTACTTGTGCTTATTGGATTGAAGTCCTTTAGGTATTCATCGTTTGGATGGCAAAGCGGCAGGCTGTCAGCCAGCTCCTTGCGGGGATTGGTTAAATGTCGCGCCGTGGGTCGAGAGTAACCATTTCGCTTGGGCGGCATCGGTTTCTCCTTACGCGGTATTTCCTGGCAGAGCAAAAGAATTGGAAAGTCTTTGGCAGTCAAGTAAGGATGATGACGATGATGACTTACCGGCACCACAGCCACCTGTATGGTGTCCGAAAACTTGACTTTGTTCTTCTCGGCTGGATTCGTTTTGACGCTGGCCGTTGCTGGACTATCGCCATTGATTGGTGTCGCTGCTGCATTCGAGAGTATGGATGCTGTCGGCTTCTTAAGCAGCATTCGCTTTGCTTGGTATTCCTCAGTGCCCAGCATAGCGGGTATATTGCCAGACACAAGTGGATGCTGATAAAACTTGGGCTGATATGAGAGAGTGGGTTGCACTTGTAACTGCGGCTGCTGCTGTTGCTGTTGCAGTGTAGCCAACTGAGCCTGTGTCGCCTGTGCATCCACAAAAGACGTTGGCTGCGAGGCACTCACAGGGCGTGTTGTCATTGTACTGGGCAGGGGCAGGGGCAGGGGCAGAGGCAAGCCAACTGTCTGATCGGGCACATCCTGTGACCAGCCATTGCCTGCAAAAAGACAAATAACATTAGGAAGGCAAATAAGGAATAAAATTTCCATTGCTCACTATTCGCATTTGTATGCTTCAGCGGCGTCGCTTGGCTGCCACTTTTCTGGGCGAGCGCCACCAGTGATGTAGTCGTGGATGCGCTACTTAATTTGGTTGTCCGCAGCTCTGGCACCGGCGGTCGCAGCTCCGGCTTGGGTATGTTTATCTTAATCATCTCGGCATTGAAGATCTTGGACTTGAAGGAGGGCAAGGGTGGCACATAGTTTTTCAGCGCCTGCTGACTGGGCGTCGAGTAGCTGGACTGCGAGCAGGCGGATTCAGGTCGTAGATCGTTGGCCAAAGCTAAGCTCAGATTGCCATTGATGTGATCCTGTCCATGGATTATGGCTGCGGCCTGACTGAAGGCGGCCTGCGCAAATTCGCTCAAGCTGCCAATACATTTTGTCAAATTGAACAGATCCATGAACAGATCATAGTCCCCGATATCATGGGCAATCTCAAATGCTTCGTTGAATAGATTTTTGCTGTGGAGGAGATGGATAAAAATTGAATTCATATTTAATGTTTGAGTATTTTAGGGTAGCTAAAGTCTCAGAAAAACCTTCAGAAATTAGAACTGTCCAGCAATAAAATATTACATATTAAATTAAATGATATATTTCATTAAAATGGATATTCAAGATTGTCGTGGAAGCTTCAATTTCTGAGCGATAATTCCAATTTCAAAGTAATTTCCGCAACTATAACTTACCGCAGTAAAAAGAAGCAGAAGCGTCTTTTCAGATCATAGACCTGATCGCTAAACTCATCCTTCGTATCCTCGGAGAGTGTGTGAGCGAATGTCTTCAATGCTCTGGCCATCAGATCGAAACGCATCCGCCTCTGATCGCCTCCAAAGAACACATAGTTGGCGATCTTGTGCAGTGTGATCAGGCACATGGCGCCATAGGTTTCCCAATTGAGGGCAGCGAGGACATTCAAGGCACGCTCCGGTTGCTGCAGACGCAGATACTTATCGGCAATCACATCCGCTGTGAGGCCACTGTTGTGGATGTCGCCGCGCATGCCCGTACCGCCAAAGATACGCATGCAGGCCAACGGTCCCTGCTCGTACAGCAACAGGAGCAGACAATCCGTTTGCGCATAACTATGCGTGAAACTGCCCAAATCCGGCTTGCGACTGAATGCAATGCTCAGCAGCGTTGGCTGCGTGGCAAAATAGTGCGACAGATCCAGCAAACTGAGCGGCGTCACATTCTCGCTGACCAGCTGATTGCCAATGGGCGCCAATGCCAAGTCGAAGCACTGCAGCACGGATCGCTCATTGGCCACACAGAGGAGCGCAGAGTCACAGTGCCACGCACACTGTGTGGGCACAATCTCGATTTGATTGATATACTTGGTTGTCTGCAGCACCAGATCATGCAGACATATGTTGCGATCGATGCTGCCCAGAAATAACTTCTCCTGATCCGGACTGAAGGCGAAGCAACAGATTTGGGTGCCCATCGCAATTGAGGTGATTGCCGTGCGTTGCATTTTACCCGTTGCCAGCTCATACGAACAGATCTCCGCACTGATGTCCCCTTTGCGGGATACCTTCTGCTCCAGTGTGATGATTTGATTCTCTGAGCTGCGCAAAAAGTCCACGCACAACGGATCGTTCTCGGACCAGCAATAGGCTATCGATTCTAGCTGTAAACTAAATAAGAAAGCGATGAATTAGTATCCAACTAACAGAATTTATCTATAGATAATTAAATAAAGATTAAAGCGAAGACTAAGAACCCAACTGACAGAAATAATATTTATAATTATATATATTTAATTTGTTGGAAATTAAAATTTATATTTGTTGTTTGTTAAACTTAAATTGGATTCTCCAACTGGAATTTGAAGTTTTATGACATTTACCCCTTGATCTTGAAGATGTGTATGTTGGCACGATCCTGATCGCGTACGGTGGGTCGCCAGGGATAGACTTCGTTCTGGGAGGATTGCGTCCAGACGACGAACAGATCAAAGCTGCCATTTACCGTTAGATGGCGTGCCAGCTTACGCTCTGAGGCGGCACCCGGAATGATCACATGGAATATGCGGGGATCCATGTTGGCAATCTTCTCGGGGCCCAGCGGTCGCAGATTGGGACGCTGCAGCAGCACCACCGTCAGCTGGTTCGTATTGTAGGCCAAGACGATGTGGGAACGTGTAAAAAATGCTGCCAAGTTACAAACAAAAAAAATTGAAGACAAAGTGCATAAACAAAACACATCAAAAGAAAAAAAAACAACATGAAAGCGTGCGCGCGTACTGATTAATTAAAAATTATAAGTAAGAGTGCCCAACTCGAAAGTAATCGACTACCGAATACCCTACAACTAAAGCTTGAGGTTTCTTTAACTTTAACTTTTGTGCTTATTGCGAATCAATTTGATATTTGCAACAAGTGCTGTGTTTCCAAGATTTCGTCAACAGAAAAGCCATATGAAATCGATATTTATAAGGATTTGGCCTGGATATCGGTAATTATCGATACTGAATAATGGATGCTTATTAAACAGATCTGTATTAAAAATATATATTAAGAAGTATTGCGTTATAAATCGATAATTATCGATACTGAATAATCGTTACCTTTAAAATAAAGATGTATTCAAAAGTATTGAGTTGGAATCTGTAAAATATACTTGTATTACAACATTTTGTGGTTTATAAAAATATACTCAAAAACCGAAAGATTGGAAATCCATATACATACAAATATATCGATACTGCGAAATCGGTTGATTACCTATCAAAAAGAAAGCCTGATCTGATTGGAGAATCTGACAGACAGACCGAGATCTCCTTCGCTATGTTACATAAATGCTGACAACTTTAAGATACACCTCTTCTACACACATATCGTAATGGGTGCAGGGTATTATAAAAATTACAATAATTGCATATGGAATGTGTTGTTTTATGCAGTTGTTTCTTGTGGCTGGGAAAGTGCCTTGCGAGTGGTGTGGATCGGAGTCGATTTGAGTTGTTAGAAATGCAAATTTCTCCGGGCAACAGTGGAAATAACAAAGCTTACACACACACGCACACACACACACAGAGACACACTCACCATCGGTAATGACCTCGGCGGCCAGTTTGCCAACGAGATACTTTTCAAAGACCATGCGCAGAATGTCGCCCGTATAGATATCGACACAGATGTGCGCAATGATGCCATTGTCGAAGAGTAGCAACACCTGTGCCGCATCCTGCCATTCCGTGTGCACCAGTTTGTGTGTGCGCAACACATCCTCCAGTTTCTTGAGATTATCCTTCAGGCGGCCAGCTGCCTTGCGACTGTTCTTCAAGACGGCGAGCCCATTGCGCCGTTCCGTGTAGTCCCGCTTAGCCAGATCGAGGGTCAGCTCGTGGGCGAGTTCGCGCTGGCGCTTGTAACGAAAGGCGCCCAAATCGCTGCTCTTGATGCGCACCTCATCGCGCACCGTGGTCCAGAAGTGCAGCTCACTGAGCAGCATCCTCTCGCCCTCTCTCTCTCTCTCACTCACACACACTCGCCCTAACGCATTCGAATGCAAATCAGAAAATGCGCATTTGGAAATTGGGAGTGGGTTAGAAAGAATACAACAATAAGCGGATGTGGAGCGTGATTACGATTATCGAGGCCAAACAAGTGGCGCATGCGCACACTTTAATTCTCACTGTTTACCACTTTATTTTACTTTGCAAAGTTTAATCGAAATTTGATTATTTATTTGTTTGGTTTAACTTTTTTTGTTTCTTTTTTTTTTGTATTTTGGCAAAAACTCGACGCACGCAAACGTAAACACCGAAAATTTGAGTTTTAGTGCTAGCAGTGATGCGATCACTTGTTGATTGCTGCGCCCTCGTATCACATCGATAACTGCAATTATCGAATTGTCATCGTTTTGCAGTGTGACCATTTTGTGGGACAAGCAAAATACAACTTAAGCGCGAAAGCTTAAAAATGTAGCGGGGTTTCTAATCGACATTTGTAACGATATTTAAACTGATAAAAATAATATTCGATCTAATCTAAAATAAAAATTACGAGTACTCTTGAACTTTTGTTACGTCCCGGCACTGGACTATGCTCAATGGAGCGGAGACATAGATGCAGATAAGATTAAAATAGTACCACAGACTTGTCTTATCAAGTGACCGACCATGTTTTAACTTAACTTAGAAGCATGTTCATTTTTTTAAACAAAAAATTATATTTATTGATTTCACCACTCAATTAGATTGTTATCAAATATTCACAGTACTTTTTTGTTTCGTTCTTTGCTCGGTATTAATTAAATACGATTAAAGGCACTATAAAATATAGTGGCATGTATATATATATTATTAATCACTAAATAAACAGCAACGTATCCGTTAATAGTAATGATAGATTAATAGTAACTAAAATATATATCGCATTTGAGAAAACTTAACACAACAATTACGTATACGCTGCATAGTGCACACCGATTCTACATATGTGTACGAATTTATAAGAGTAATTATATCGATATATATATATATATATGTATATGTATGTGTGTATATAGATATGGCGGCATCGATTTGGGCAACAGATTTGCGCGCCTAATGACTGCGACCGCAGGATTAATTCTACACAGCATATATCCTAATCCTGCGGATGTATTACTACAGATTGTGCTTATCAACTAAGAACTACTAGGAAGGCAACAAGATAAATTAAATCAAAAGCAATCTTCTTTTATATACAAAAATATTCTGAGCGGCATATTTCAACTAAGTTCTTCAACTACACTGTACAGCATAATTATTTATATCTCTATATGTACAAGTGAATATATATCAAAATATCAACGATAATTTAATGTGTAAATGTACATAAGTTTTCACTAATTAGCCTTCTTATTTATTTTTTTGTTTAAATTTTGATAACATTTTCAACTCAATTGAAGTCATTTAAAGTTACAATTTCAGTTTGTTTTTTTTTCCTTTTTTGTTTGGCCTTGGTTTTAGTTTCTTTTTATCCTTTTGCAATTTAGAAAATAATTCGTGCGGATTTTTACGCTTATTTTTCTAACGTCTCATCAAGTCTATCGAGTTCGTTGTCTTAGGAGCTAAGTTGAACGAAATTTGCGCTCGTTGGTTAAATCGTCTAGAAAACCACAATTAGATTACAAATTACAATATTAAGTTGCAGCAGTCGCGTCTACATCATTATACACAGATTGGTTTTATCGCTGTTAACTAGTCCGTTACGGTTTGGGAGGCGGGCTGGCGGGCGGGCGGTTGGTATAGGCGCTAATAGGCGTGGCCGCATATCCGACTTCAAAAATCGTAAAACTCATTCGATTTATTGTTAAAGCGTCGCGTCAACACATAAACCACCGCCTCATAGGTGGCCATCATGATCGCCGTGTTGGGAATCTGTCGCACCAGTTGCGTGGCCAGGCCTCTGTTCTCGGAAAAAAACAGAAGAACAGAAACGTGAGGGATTCAATTAGTTAATTCAAACATTTAGCAGTTATTTTAAGTGCTCGTGAATGTTAAATGTATGCAAACAGCATATATGTATATATATTTGATAATGAAATTAGTTGAAGGCAAACAACAAATAGATACAAAATGCGTCGCAAAAGATTCTTGGTTTTCACATTGGCAAATATAGCTGGGCAGGCACAGAAATCGTGGGTGGTTCGTTATTATACAAAATTAGCAGGCAAGAACAAAAATACAAAAATTGCGCTTAAAGCATTTCGCTTTGTTTATAAATAAAATATGCGCTGCTCCAGGCACCATCCATCGCATATAAAAATTAAGAATTAAGGTGTTAAAAAGTATATTTGACTATAATTCTCAATTTTTTGACATGTTTGAGACTATGAAAATTCCATATGTGAAATAAATACGTTGCAAAATTGAAACAAATAGTAGCAGTGTTAATATTTTAATATTCAGATGTCATATGCCATCTGGGATTCCCTTAAGCCAATCTAATTCAACTGGAAGCTGGGGTAACTCCACACAGCTATCAACAGGTCAATGAAGATTATCAGAGTGATTTGCGGGTAATTTACACATGATCTTATACAATTTATAATCACTATATATAAACGACACACACCTGTAAAGTCCAGCGCGTCCCTCCTCCTTCCAGACGGTGTGCAACGTTTGCCAGAACGAGTTGTATTTGTTGCCCTCCTCGCGCAGACGCGTTCGTGCCACCTCGTGTGGATATGCAATGCAGGAGGCAATCGTCTTGGATACGGCGCCAGCCATCATGAACTCCAGGAAATCACGTGAACCCTTTGTGTCCGTGTGCCTCTGATTGCGCTGCTCCAACTGCAACAGAGTAGTAACAATAGTCAGTTAAGGGGATTCACAATTAATTAGTTATTGCTAACCAGTTTGGATTTGATGAACTCGTAGATGACAAAGTGCACCATCGTCTCGCAGATGCCAAAATAGCTGGCAGTGATGCCCTTGTAGAAGGCAGCAATGCCCCCTTGGGCGTAGACCCGCTCGATGCATTGCCGCACAGTCATCTGCACCTTGGAGTTGTAGTCCAGCTGCATTCGCGTCTTCACAAACCAAATCGGATTTGTCGCTGTCGATGATACAAAGCCGGCGCTGGCAGCGCTCATAATGTGCACAAGCGGTGAATCCCGCTCAACGAATCTGCAATGGGGAGCGGAGCCGAGACGGGGAGGTTCATTAGACTGAATTTAAATGACAAATTGCGTGTCTGTTCTTTTCAATATACAGCACGAAATGCAAATTGAAAACAAGGCGGGTCGCAAATTGAAATAATGATATACGAGAACTTATATTCCCAATTTTTAATGGCTTCAATCTCAGTTTATCTTAGTTTCCCACCTCATTTTGTGTCCTTTTGGTGTACTTACCCCAAACTGTTGAGCGAGTTCTTTGTCTGTGAATAGGTGCAAAAGTAAATGGCACGCGACGGTGCCACGCCGACAAGATTTGGCCCGAGTCCTTTGAAAAGCGCTTTGGGACCCTCATTCTGTACAATGTGTCTAGAAGCCAAACAAAAATTGTATATATATAGAGAGAGATTGTATACGGTTGCTAAGTAAAAGACGAAATAGTACATTTGTATTCAAATCCAGTGTTGTAAAATGTGCCAGTGGAATTTTTGTAAATAAAATGGGATATTTTCAACTCAGAATTTTGCGTTTGTTTCCAATTAGAATTGCAGATTGAGTTTTGGGTATTGAAAGGACGCTTGAAGTTCAACTGGAAAAACAGTACAGCAATATGGATGCGGTTATGGAAAATACAAAACGTTTACATAGCGAAACAGTTGAAACAAAATAATTATATAAAAGAGAGTCACAATCGATAGCAATCGATAATTTGATATCGATAACAAATTAAAAGAGTTACTCGTTTGTTGCACTTACCGCAGGCACTGCATAATGCTCATAGATTTTGGGGTTGTCGATGAGATGCCGCAATGTGAAATGGCCATTATCTGTTGGGTTTAAAACAAATGCTGGCAAGTCAGTAAAATTGAGGTTAAAGCTGAGCAAGCGATAAAGCGATTGATGGCAGATGAGTTTATCGAATGGCACAAACACACAACAATCAGACGCGAAAAGGACAACGATATGCGATATACTGATTATGATTGTGAGTATATATATATGTGTTTTTGTGTGTGTGTGTGTGTGATATGGTTATAAATAATAATAATAAGAATTTGGTACTACCCTACGCACACCCCCAATCACCTGTGGCTGTGATCTGTTACGTAATATCGTTGTGCTTAGCTTACGTCGTTGTTCGGGCCGCAGCAGCTCGGAGGCGCCACCATTCGCCGGTCCGCCAGCGGACTCAACAATACGTGTCGACGGCGACAGGAACGCCGTTGAGCTCTGTAAACGGGTCTTGACCACCTCCAAGGGACATGTTACCACAGCACCAACGGTTCCAGCGGATCTATAAGCATATATCAACGAAAAAATTGTAAGTTAGTAAACACATAATTGCACTATAGTTAATTATAGTTGACATTTCAATTTGTTGCCCATATAAATAGAAAATCGAAATTATTCTAAGAATATGCAGTGGAAAATTTTTGTGTTTTTTTTTTTGAAAATTTGGAAGAATTTAAAGAAAAATGCTTGACTGATTGCCAATGTTCAAAAGCTGAAACTTAAAACATTTTTGGCAATTGAACATTAACACAATTACCGTGATCTCTCGTTAAGGCAAACGCTGTGTATTCAGTAGTGATGGTCTTAGAAGAATTATTCCATTTTCAAACAATCTAGCCAAAAATATCAAACGAGCAGCTGAAAACCTAAAACCAATTTGGCAATAGACCATAAATACCAAATACACTTATCTATTATGACCTACAACATTCCTCGTGGCATTCTGTGCATTTCAATTATGATTTATGGACTTTTCATCAAGTCAGTCACCGGAAACTGCGCAAATACTTAATTTAATTGCAATTTACTTAATGCACTTAAAAATTACTTTTAATTCTGACTCAACACACTCAAAGTGGCTGCTGGATTAAATGAAGATGATATCATTTTGGCCACATTCCCATTGCCTTTCCGCACTTTGCACAGAATTGGTAATTAAATTAGCCCAGACCTTGCCTAATAACAACAAACATTTGCCAATATTATGTGATAAAAGGGAAACATTCTTATCTAATAATTTTATATATAAACTGGCGCTTGGCCAACGACAACAAAAAAAAACCTAATCTATAGTATATAATATTCTGACAATGAGTTCGACGAACAAAAGACCCTCGTGAGTTTTGAAAGAAAAAGCTTCCTTGTTGCTGATTGTCAGGCAGGCTCATATATTAATAAACAAAAAATCAGAGCTAAAGTTTGATCGATGGCAAAACGTCAGCAAACAAAGGAAAGGGAAAACCATTTTGTTCAATGGGTGACACGAAAAGTCACCTTAAATGCATGACAAGATAATTGTATATATATAACTGAATGTACTTATATCTAATTATCTTTATGGGTTCATATATCATTTAAATATATTTGTCTCTTGTTTGACCCTATGAAACTTTGTATATGCCACTATATCATTTGGTATATGGTATAAAAATCCGGCTGATTTCTGAAATTTATACTTGTCTGGCTAAGATAGTCGTAAAGTTTTTCTATGCTTATCAGGCCCAATCGTCGTTAGCTAGCAGCTGGCTGCTCCCCCGGGAATATATATATTTAGAAAAAAAAACACTAGTAAACAATTTCACTAATCTATTTGAGATTATGGCAGGGCCAAGTGCAAACCGGTGCGAACCGGCTTGGGGTGCACCCGACATATCTGATAACCTGCGAATGAGAATGAATTACCAGCACCGCACACTGTCAGCTGCGTGAGCTTATCAGTCAGGCAGTCAGCCAGTCGACGACATGCCACATTATGCTTTGACTATATATATGTATATGTAGTCTATATAGGTAGCATCAATTTCAAATCAAATCTGGTGTGACATAACTAAAGCCGGCAAGAACTGTTCACATGCTCAATTGAACATGCCACGTTTTTAATGTTAGACCTTTATATATATATATATATCATTATTTGCATTTAAGCGACCATTTCGCGCAGTGTATTAAAGGCGCCACACAATGGCAATTATTATACAAATTGAATCAGTAAGTTAACGAGAACACTCGACTATTGAGTTTCATTATTAGCATGTCGTTCAATAAAACATTGCGTGTGCTGCCAGCAACAACAACAAATCCAACCAACTCATCCAGACAGATGGACAAATAATGGATTTTTATACACATATATTATATATACATATATATATATATATTATATACATTTGACAAATTACAAGCAGAAAAGGCATGGCAATTTATTTGTAATCAAATATTTATACAATACCTCGATTTACAAGTGACAATTTGATTTGAGATTTATTATGGCAATTATTTGCCATGATTACGTTAACAGTTTGGGGAAATGTGATTAGCTACAATAATATATATTTTGGAACATTACACTGATTATATTCATTCATTCTTAACGGTCTAAGATTTAGGATTTAAATTGGTTCTGGCTGTAATGCATTTAAAACAACAAATAATACGTAATGTTTCAATTACAAATAAAGAAAATATAGATTGCTGCATCTCGACTAGGCATATAAACAGCCAGACATATCTAAATAGGCTCGTCTAGCAGTGCTGATCAAGAATATATGTTCAATAAGCTGTCGGAGTTGCTTTATTCTTCTGCTTGTTAAATACTTTTGCACAACTTAATTTTCCCATTTTTTATGATAAGACCCTGAGAATCAGTATTCCCTCCATTCGTTGGAAGAATCTAGTCATTCCAACACAATTCCCTATTTGCAGAATGCAAATATATAAATTGGATTTGGCGCTCAAGTTCAACAACACTTTGGTGTGAAATAAGCTGAAAAGAGCTCCACAATCAGCTGTATTGGATGCTATAAAGTCGAAACGCGCCAAGTGATATCCAACCCTCATCTTCGCGTTCCTTGTCTCTCATCTCAGCTGTGAATTGCATTTCAAATGCGGACATTGGCGTTGGCGTATCTTTAGCGCAAAATCAATGGCCTTTTGGCTATTTTGTTGTTTTTATTTATATTTATTTTTTTGTCTACTTCTCGTGTATGAAGCGTATTTAAAAAAAAAGAAAAAAACGCAACCGGTTAATGGTCGATTTAGCTGTTTTTTGACTGAATCGCCTCGGAAATCGTAGTACGACAGATACGCCAAACACGCGCCAGATAAGAGTGGAAAATTTGGCAGACAGAAATGCAAACGAACTTCGCACCTCGATACTCAAAACTCGACAGTTAATTCAAATTTTTAATTTTTGTAATTGTATTTTGTTGGGCGATTGTCAGCGAGTGTGTTGATGTTTCTGTTGTGATTATGGATGTGTCTCACAGGTATATCTGGTCGTGGTGCGTCATCTGCCACCGGCGGCTTTTACTCTACGACAAATTTTGAAATGGAAGTGCGCAAATCTTATCAGCATTTCTTTTCCTTTTATTATTTTTCGAGCGCGTTTTGCAGACGAAACTTTTGTTATCAATGCGATTTTTTTTTTGCTGCTTAGATTACGAAATCGATGGAAAGTTTTGTAGACATGAGGTTTTTTTTGTGTGTCAACTCGAAGAATGCGATAAAGTGAGGGAACTATTAAAAGTTGCGTGGAGGTCTGTGCATTATCTCAGATTCGTTATAAATGGAAATTATCTATAACTAAATAATTTTATTTATCTAATAAGAAACACAGACGGTTTTAATGATGTTCTTAATCATTGAACTTGGCACGCGACCTTCTATGTTTATACTATATGCATATATTCAATTTATATCGTTTCTAAATAGAATCATCTTATCGCCCACATTCGGAATTTGGCGGTTTGCTTAATGTGCCAAGAGAAATACGCACAAATTTCGGGAGATTCTATCTACATATTTATTGTATTCTATATGGCTGAGGTTTTCTCAACAGTAAAAGATATATAGATATATATACGGGCGCCCTTGACACACTTTTGTGCCAATTTTCCGATTTGTCACTGGCGAAAGTTAACCAAACAGAAGATTTCCCTTTAAATACAAATAATTATTAAACAATTATGTTTTAAATGACACGTTTACCGAGGACGAAAAAGAGAGAAAGCAAAGAGATTAACAAAAATAATGTGTACGTGATTTAAGACATGCCAACGATTTCCCCATTGAAAACCAAAAACTTCTTTGTCCAAAACAACGAAACGACTATCTGAGCACACCGGAGATTACATTTCACTATATATTTAAAAAATGAATCGTTTGCTCCCTTGAAAGCTTAATGATATAGTAGTCCAATGTTGTATAAAAAAGGTATTCATAGAAGAACTCAACATTTGACCAATGGGAACTATGAGAGCTATATGACATAGTGATCCCCTACTGGCTGTAACTTAAAGTCGAATATTCCAAGTTCAATCAAGCTAATATAAAAATATATAAACAAACAGGTAGACAAATATATGCTGAACAAGAATATATAAACCGAACTGAGAGAGTTCTCCTTATCAGCGTTGCAAACCTCACGACAAAGTCATAATACCCTCCACAAGTTTGTACACTAAACCAGAAGCATCTTTATTCACCACGAGAAATGGGCTATGAAAGTAAGCACAGAATTTCGGAACACCTTCCAAAGCATTCTCTTATGATGATGCATGCAACTTTTAGTTGAATTTTGACGATCTCTAAAAATAACTCGGTGCGATCTACTTAAACTTATATAAACGTGTTGTGGCATTGTTGTTTGTTTTGTTTTGTTTGCTTTGCTATTTTTTTCTGTCCCCACGTCAATGTTCCCCACACACGCGCTATCTCTCTCTCTCTGCCTTGCTTTCCCTCCCTTTCTATTGAATGCATTTCATTAGCAAAATGTTGTTTTGCCTTCAACCAAGTCAATGTGCCAGAAAGAGCTTGTCTAGTTGACTAAACCAAAACAAATCGAACGCCAGACCGCATTTGTCTCTTCTCTGCCTCATTTCATAAAATAAAAGCAAAAGTTTTATATAAAAAGAAAACAACATCAACAACAACAAAGCTCGTTGCGTCTGTTAAGCTTTAGCATACCCTATAAATTAATATCTGAATAATAGATAATCATATTTAAATGAAGAATTTAATGCGCAATTCTATTTGATAACTTAGAAAGCACAATTTTTCGGATATTCTTTTAAAGTTTGGCCTACAATAAGTAAAAATTAATTTCTATATTTAAATGAATCATTTTTAATGCGCAATTCTTTTTGATAACTTAGAAAGCACAATTTTTCAGCTCTTCTCTTAAGTTTTGCATAAATTAAGATTAAGAATACGATATTATTTTATTTTTTAATTTGAAGTGGATTAAATTGACTGTCAATATATATGCTTAAACATATAAGATAAGAATCTCTCTTATACATTTGAGCGACGGCCAAATTGATCAAAGATAACATTATGCCAAATCCGATGTCATCTATAAGAAAGCACAAGTCTTTAGACATACATATACCCTGTAAATAATTAACAACTTGTTTTGAAATTATGCTAATGAGTCTGTTGCAATGTCACAATATTCTGAAACGCATTCAACTTGAAACAGAATAAATATATGTAGTATATACAGTCAGTAGACATTTGTGTCATAATCGGTTTGTTTACTTTATTTATAATGATAAACAATGCTCTATCCATCTATATGTATATATATATATATATAAAACTGCTGCAAGGTTGTTTTCTTTTTTCCCTATGCAGGGGATGTGATAGTAACGTGTGTAAATAATAGATACGGTTAGAAATACTTGAACATAGATAGAAATATATTTACGTACGTTTGTACTTATCTCGGCACATATGTCTTACGTATGTATGTTTGTAGTACCACTTAAGTAGTACACTCAGTACAGGGGGGTAATCAGCTCAAGTTGTTTTAAGGCTTAGAGAGGTGGAAATCGGGCGGATGACAATGCAAATGTGCAACGTGAGTCCCTTTTTTCTTTATTTTATGAACTTTGCTTCTGGTTCAGCTTAAAGCTGTTTTCACTGAGTACATATATATATATATATTCAGTAGTATATATATATATATATATGTATATAGAGTATGTATATGCGAGTGCAGACTGTGGTTGAGGTTAATAAGATGCCGGCCGGCAAATTGCATTTTGGTCTTGTTGGTGTTGTTGACGAATAATGGAAAAGATTGCTACCTTATCTTCGACCTGCCACATTTATTTGAGCTGGGAGCACTTGCGAATTACAAGTGCATGCAATTTGTTACAATTATTATTGTTATTAATTAATAATGAAATAGCTGTGTCACCGTCTAATGAGTATTCATCAGAGCAGACACCTTAAGCTTCCCACTTGTTTACATTTGATAAAGCAGCACCGAACTGCACCTACCTTTTACCCTCCTCTACTTTTCACTACCAAAACGAAACAAAACAAAACAAAAAGAAAAACAATAATTTGATATACTTGCAATGTGAGCGGCATTGAATTTCAGTTGCGCTACTCAAAACAAAACGAAAAAAAAAAACCAGTTGGAGTGCATTCCCAACTGGAATTGCTGGAACGAAAAGGCTGAGCCTGAAAACTGAAATGCCACAAGGAGTGCCGACGCCGTAGGGTGTGTGAAAGAAAATAAAAATAAATTTCAACACAGCGGGTTAAAAATAGTAATCACAACAAGCAACAGCAATAACAACACAATTAATGCTTGTTAAAGCTTGAAAACTCAACTACGTCTCTGTTTCTCTCTCTCTCTCTCTCTCACACAAATTTAAATTTGCTGCGGTTTGCAAACTCAATCAATTCCAATAAATGCAATGCATTTGTTATATATTATTCCAAGAACTAATAGACTGGAAAGTTAGTTAGAATTCAAGTTTGAGAGCATGTCACACTCTCTTCATGTGAATGGCAAATGGGCTGCAATGTGTGTGTGCGAGAGAGAGAGAGAGAGAGAGAGAGCATGTGTGTGTTTCGGTTTCTTCTTTATTGTTTTGCTTTGCTTTTCTATTTTATTGTGCATGTTTGCCGTCTGTTTAAATTGACGATTTCGTGTGACGTTTATCTCGAAATTATTTTTGTGCCCGCCGCTTCCAAAAATAAATCGCACACGTGAACTATGCATGATAATTGTTAGCAATGTGTTTGTGTGCAATTTTTTTTATTTTTTGTTGTTTGTCCGCTTTTCAATCAAATATTTCTTTCTTTCTTTGATTCGTTATTTAATATATGTGTTTTTGGCCCACATGCCAACTTTCCCGATTTACAGGTCAATTGTTTAATTGTTGTTGGCCAACTAAATCACAATTGCGTCGTTACTATTACATTTTTTTGTCTCAAAACTAAAACCAGTTTTAAGGCGCAATAAACATATAAGTTGAAAATGTATTTCACTTACCCGCCGGCTAGCAAATGTATCAAAGTTTCACGATTTTGGGACATAATCGAGTTTATTTTTATATTTGTGGTTTCCACTTTTGGTGTGCGAACGTGAGATGTGATTGGCTAATTAACGCGCACTTGGAAGTTGCTCCCCCTCCCACAACTACAACAAAAAAGCAGCGGGCAGCAGCAGGCTTTTGGGCCGGCGGGTAGCGGCTCTTTTCCCGGCGGCAACGGCGGCCGCAACACCGCAATGGAATTTTTTCTTTTCTATTATTTTCTCTCCCTGTTTTGCTGTAAACGTTCCGTTTTAGTTGTTGTTCTGATTTTGGCGCTTTAGAATTATGGTTGAGGGGTTATTATGCAACTACAACAAATCACACTGATTTCTTATCACAACACGCACACATCAGAATAAGGATGAAACAAAACAATGGCTTTTGTTGCAAAAAATTTAATGTTTAATGTGCTTATGCTGGCTGCTAAGTGATGCAAACTTTTACACTACACGCGAAATTGTTCAATATTTTTGTGCTTTCGGCGAATTGACAAATAACATCGAAGAATAAAATGACCGTCTTGTTGGATTCACAAAGTAGAACTGTAAGCACTTGCGATGGACGATGTTTCGATATTGCATTTCAGTGTGTCATCGATACGTTCGCATGTCACGCATGATACGTTCGATAGTTGACATGCTCAAGTTTGGGATGGGATTTTCGTCTTCGAAATATACGTTCACACTTTTTCCATTTGAATGAGCTACAATTTATGTAAGTAGTTTTAAGTTAAATCTGCTCGAATGCTTACTCTATTTATACTATGCACAAACGAACAGCTTGCCTGCTTGACCTAGAGTTTTGTGTGTGATTTTCTTTAAGCTGGTCACACTTTAATAACAGCTGTTAATTGAGTGAGAGCGCGCAATTTAATATTAGGACTGCTGTTAACAGTTGTTGAACTGGCTGCTTAACGGCTGCTTAAGTGGCTGTTGTGCTGTTATTAACAGATGTTGAACTATTATCCAACGCTGTTTAACAGCCCAATTACAATCTTCCCTTGAAAAAACTTTCGATGTCAGTTTTCTTTTACGGAAAATCAATTTTTATGGCACAAATTATGGCGAAATTAAGTTGGCTGCAACTATTAAAGTAGTAAAACAAGAATTCGAGTTGGGCCTACATATGTAGATATTTATATGAATGTATTTACGTATATTCTTTTCAGTGCCCTTTCGTATAAATATTTTATGTTTTTCTATACTTTATGCCTGCCCTTATATTGTTTGTTGGCCAAATTGGCTCTGTGTCATTTAATAAATATGTCCCCGATTGCAAATGAAAATAACTTTAATTGTCAACTGGCAAGTCAAGGTCAATATTTGTTGTTGTTTTCGATGTTGTTTGCTCGCTGCTGTCTTTGCCACGTGTTTGAATGACACAGTGTCCCCAAAGTGTGTGCAGCTGTCGGCAATGTCAATTACTTGTAAATATTGTATAAATACCTCAATAAAATACATACACTAAGAAAAATAAATCGGGCTGAATTTTAGTAAATCTCCATAAAATTAACATCGACTTAAAAAATATAGTTTTTTTGCTTTTTTTCTATTATTTTCAGTATTTAGATAGTTTTTATAGAATAAATTATAATATTAGAAGAGAATGTTTACAAAAATTTGAAAGGCTTGTGTGAAATCAAAAATTCCGAAAATATGGCGATGTTTTCTATTCATTTCTTTTTAGAAATATTTTTTATTATCCAGAAAAACAATTCAAAAAAGTAGAAATGCAAACCTTAGTTTTTAGTAAGTCACAACTATAATATTTTTAAAATTATTGAAAAAATTTTTTTCCGAGTGTATACAGAATATATACTTGTGCATTGCAGATAGCTTCTATATGTGGCGAAAACAATGCGTTTTTCTATTGTATATATTTGATTTATGCATATGTGCATATATATATCATACACCTATTTACTTTCAACTAAGTGGAGCAAGTTAAACAATATAGCCAATGCATGCGATATAAAGCAAAATACGACTGCGGTTTGACCCTGACATTAAGCACACTTTATTTACCCCTTTTTACAAACCAAAAAAAAAGAAGAGAAGCAAAAAAAAACACGTGGCAGTCATGCACGTTTGACCATACAAAAGTCTTTCAATTCGGAGTCTCCAAGCACTCGCCTAAAACAATAGGCGCCTTCTTCTGCCCCTGGCGCACTTCCCCTCCCTCTCTTCGTTCGTTCATACAACGTTACGTATGAGTAATCCATGTGAAATGGCTGCTAAAGCTAATTAAAGGCCAGCCAGCCAAGCGTCGGGGCAAAACTCCATGGAACGACCTTGGCATCGCCAACTTGATGGCAGTAAGTGCCCTTTACCCTAAATTAGCCCTCTATATACATATATATAGACATATATATATCCATATAGCATTTAGCCGTTTGTCAACTGACACAACTAATGTCCGTTTGGCCCTTGTGCAAGGCAAAGTCCAATGGATGCCCATTAAAAAAAAGAGTGAGAAAGGGGGTATATTAATCGTAGAAATTGAAATACGAGCTAACTTATAACAGTCTCTTCTATAGACAGAAAACGGACTTTTTTCCAATGCATTAAATATCGTTTTGCAACTCTGTCAAGTTTCTTATACATTCATTATAGGTTATAGGGTATTTGCTAGCGGTGCATACGCGACACGCAAACGGTTTCTAGATTTTTGGCCGACCTTACTATGTCTTTTATAAAATTGGCAAAGCTTTTACTTACCAAATGCCGCACATAAATTCCGACCCATTTTACAGTTGTAAAGTTACAGTTACAGTTTTGAATCAAAGGCGTGGCAAAACATTAATAGGCCGAAGGACACAAAGGACACGAGTATACGCAAATGCCAAACACCTGATAAAATGCCATACGTAAAGCAAAATTGTGTGCTGTTTTTATTTGTTTCATAGTTTTGTTTTCATTTTTATGACTAAAGTTTCCTTGGAAATGAGCGCATCGAGTAACGATTCGCGTATCTATTATAACAACCACACCAAACACACACACACATACACACACACAGTCGGCGATCAACACCACGCTTGGTGCGAACTGTCAGCAGAAAATTTGTTGTAAAACTCAAGGAATGTAATGAAGAGGAGGTGGGTGTGTTGGGTAGGGGAGGGGCCGGGGCTGGGGCACACTGTGCTACTGGCTGGCGTCATTTTTGTTTTGCGTGCTGTGTGAGGCTTGCGTGATTCATGCTGATGCATGCCAAACTTATTCCCCCATCTCCCAAAACTAGAGATGGGTGCAAGAAACATCGTTTGTAAGGGAAAGTCAGTAAAAGCAAAGTAAGCAAAATGCTAAATAAAATTATATAATTTTATTTAGCAAGCGTTTACAATTGTTAAGCTTAAATATATTTTTTACAAGAATAAATGTCAATTAACAACAATTGCATGTCATCTTTATTATTATTATTTTAATAATTTATCAATATCATCCGATTATTATGCATGTGTCTACGCCAGCTCGTGTCACGCACATGACACGTGCTCATCTCAACTGCAGTGCATCATCACTCAACGCTTTTGGCGCGTCTGTCTGTCCATTTTAATTACTGGAACTGGAACTAGAACTGGAACGGGCAGCGGGCAACTGGCAAACAGGCAAATGTAACTCGAATTTTAGTTTTGAATGTCGCCACTTGACGGCAATAAAAATGTCAATGCAGGCACGCACACACACACACGAGGAGCAGGGCAACAGGACAACAACAGCGACCTTGAGCCGGCGGCCTCCTCTCCCCCTCCCCTTAACATTCACCTCTAAGAAGAAAGTGGCGATTAAAATGATTTTCGGCAACCTCACAGCTGTGCGGCATAAACAAATCAAATGAGCATGAGCATGAAATAGAGTAGGAGAGGGACAGAGTGTATGAGGTGGGTGATGCTACACACTCACTCTCATTACCTCTCTCTCTCTCTACGACGCCGGCGACACGTGCCTGTCGTGATGGCGGCGCTACGTGGCGTATACGTATTGCGCGGACGCCGTAGCCATTTTGCCAAAATGTGTTGTGGTAACGCATGCAAAAACTGCTGCCGCTGTTATTGTTGCTGTTAATGGCAATGTAGTTGTTGTTGTTGCTGTTATTGCGGCTGCTATCGCTGCTATGCCTTGTACAGTTGCGCTAAGCGCAGCGCAGCAAAAACCAAAAAAGCGAAACTCCCTAAAACCCACAAATCGAAGGACTCGTAACGAGGGTTAGAGTTGACGACTTCACTCGCTGCTCGCTGCATGCAGCAACAATGCCAAACTCACACGCTTGCTCTCTCTCTCTCTCTGGCTCTCCCTCCATCTCTGTGTTAAAGAGAGCACAGCGAGAGAGCGAATGTGAACAACTGACACAAGCAACGAGAGCAGCTGCGTTGCGATGCGATGGGCAACATGTGAGCGCAAAAATACTAACACAAATGCAATCGGCATTTAAATGTGATGGTAACATGCAAAAAAAAAAAAATAGACTGCACAGTGCAGCGAATATTTAATGCCCTTGCCGAAATGTTGATTCAATGGAATAGCTTTATTAGTATGAATACCTGTTTAAAATCAATATAAATGGATATCATTTTATTTGTATGTGTTAGAATAATTAAATATTTTAATAATTATAATTTTCAGTTCATTTTTATTACACTTTATAGTAAAACACAACATTCCGATTTGTACCACTCGCTGTAACATATTTTTGGAAAATTCCCTAACGCCCAAAAAGTATGCAATAGTAAATATTTTTTTTTTGCATTGTGATAAGTCAAAAAGTGCAAACCCGACTCAGGTAGGAAAAGCAAACAAAGCGACAAAGTCGAAACGACTCGGGCGAGGGTATAAACCAAGCGACGAGGACGAGAACGCAAACGGAGAGTCGACAGCAACAACAACAACAACAGCAAAAACAACAACAACAAAAGATGTCGGCAACACACGACGACGTTGCCACGTTGCAGTGCCGATTCGCACACACACACATAGAAATATAGAAACTTGTGGCAACATCTGGTTGTGCTCCTTGGATTCAGAATCAGTTCGTTGTCGTCAGTCAGTCAGATTAGTTCGGTATCTTTGCGAATTCGAAGCAAACAACTTCCAAGGCGCAGCAGCCACACAAGCCATCCACACCAGCCACAACGAATTGGAACGCACTGCAAATGAAATAAAACAACAAATATATTCAGAAAAATATAACAGCAAAAGGAAACAACAACACCAACAAGCAGGAAAAAAGGAGCAGAAATCCTGGCACAAGAATTGTCTTTCTCTTATTGCAAAAACCAATTCGATTTCTCAACAAACGCTGCTTGTGTGTGGGTGTGTTTGTGTGTGTGTGCTCGCAAGCGTGTGTATGTGTGTGTGCCGCTTGTGTGTCCAAGTGGCGCGTCCTTGGGACTGGCACTAACCAAATAACGGTACCCAAGAAGCAGGCGCCGCACAAGGATATAAAACATATGCACCACAAACAGCGACAGCAGTCAGAGTAATCAGGAATCCAGGCCAACAACATCAACATCAACGGAAGAAAATCAATTTTTGTCAAAAATACATAAAGTGTAAAAGCGAACAAAAAGTGAAAACTGAAAGCAGGTAGCAAGAAGTACCTGCAATAATAAAAGCAGAAGAGCCAGAACAAGAAGAAGGATAAGAAGAAGAAGAAGAGGAAGAACTATAGCATTACCATCGCCAACTAACTGCACATTGTGTCCTCTCAGCCGCCATGCTGGACTAGCACACGGCAGTTGTTGTATCTCTGTCGAAGAGAACAAACACATACACACACACACATACACACACACAATACACCAAAAAAAAAACAACAACAACAACAATCGAAAACAATAAAAAGAATTTAGGACTTGCCTGGTTGGGTTAGGCCTGTCTGTGGAGGAGGTGCAACGGGGGCAGCAAAAAGAACAACAACAACATCAACAACAACAGCGCCAGCAGCAGCAGCAAAACTACAGTACTCTACTCTATATATATATAGATAGACACACACACACACACATATACATACATACTTCAATCGTGTTGCAACACTGCAAAAGTGCAATCATCCGCGTGGCTCTTTAACTCTCTGCGCAGCCTGCCGCAAACATCCTCCATTCATAAAGGCCTAACCATAAAAAAATACAAAAAATAAATCAACGCGCTGAAAAAATAAAAATAAAACACAATTTACAATTTAAAAATAAAAAATTTACTAAAATATATACTTAAAAACAATATCAAAGGCCACAAACGAAATTTTTAACTTAACTAAAAAGCACTCAATTTTAATACAAACAACAATTATATAAATAAAGAGCATCTGTGATTCGCATATAAAAGAAGAACAAAAAAACATAAACTTATTTTCATACTGCACGTTTTTTCCAAAAAAAAAAAAATAATAATAATAATAAATGTATAACAACAACAAATTTATTTAATAAATTATAAATTGATAAAAATAAATTTCGTTTGCCATCACATAGAAAAAGAAATCATAAAAATAATTATAAAACAAAGAAAATAAAAAAAGAAAAGCACACGCAAGCCGCAGACTCGGAAGTTTGGCTTTTTAGGCATTGGCAGCAACCGCAACCAACTGCGGCAACAACAACACCAACACACCAACAACAACAACAACAACAACAGCAGCAGCAGCATCAGCAACTACAACAAATTCATACAAGGTCAACGGATTTAATATTTTTGTAAGTTCTTTTTCATCACATTTGCATTTATATTTGATTTTCTTATCCCTTGCATTTCTTTTTAATTGTGCCATGCAAAAATATTGAAAACATGTGCATGTCAATTAAATACCGATTGCAGATTTGTGTCTACTTTCTGCTTTCGCCCATGAGCATATTGCTCTGTCGAGTGTATAGCAGACGAAAATAGACGAAAATTCAAAAATCCGAAGTCTGTATACTCTTTAGCATAAATCTGGGTTTCAAAAAGTCAAAAATGAGCAACAGTTGGTTAAATCTTATGTATTTTAGTAGGCATTTCACAAAATCCAACATATTGAATTCTTGAGGAGGTATCAATTTACTTGTAGATGAAAAGTAACGCATATAGATTTTATTAGGGATGTTATAGAATTCTATTTAAATATTACTTTGATTTTTGTTTTATGTACTAAACCAAAATGTTGCCAAAGTTGGAATTTAGGTGCAGGTAACGTTGGAAACTTTTTCAAATTTCATTTCAAGCATTTTGCAAATCTCATATCAAAGTTGTAGTTAAAAACCACCTGAAAGTAGACTATATTATATTTGTATATAATATTTAAAGCTATTAAGATTATTTTATATAATGTTGCTTTCATACAATTTCAAGTTAGGGTATTAGAACTGAACGCATCGTGGGCAGTGCACGGTTATAATTGGGGCAAAAACAGAAATTAATTGGTTGGCAAGTGCGGCGCGCACAGCGGTGGCAAGGTGAAGGTGCCACGGGGCATCAATGGGCATGGGCATGGGCATGGGCATGGGCACGGGAATGGGCATGGCCATTGGCATGGGCATATGAATTAGAGGCATGCGGTTATGGTTAGATGGCAATGTTAACGGCATGGAGCTATCTGTAAATCGAAATCGCAATTTGTCTGGCTAGCGACGCGCCTGCGTTCTTCTTCTTCTTCTTGTTGCTGGGGTTATTGTTGTTGTTGTTGGTGTTGTTTTTACCGTGCCCCAGGGAGCCGCTTTGCGAAATGTCAACGGTATTTTTATCAGCTAAGTAAGCGAAAACATAGAATACGACCGTAGAATGTCTGGTGTCTGGTTGCAATGCATTTGCATTGGAAAACTAGCCCACTAAATCCCTCTCTCCCACTCTCTCCCTCCCACTCTCTCTCTCCCTCCCCCTCTCTCTCTCACTCCCTCGCTCTCTCTCACTCAGATTAGCAACGCTTAATATTGATTTTGCACATTATGACCAATACACAAGTCCCTATGTGATTCATTCCTGTCTCGGCCGGATGTGTAAGTGTGCGCAGTGACATCTTGTCCTAAAGTAATCAAAATCACACACTCTCTTTTGGCATAATACATACACTGTAAATGAACCCTAGAGGGTTAGTTCAATCGGGCAGATTTACTTAGTTTTAAAAATGGTATGCTAGAATTGCAAATCCTTTTTAAACAGACAGATTTACTTAGTCTTAAAAATGTTATGCTTGTTGTCGACACCCAGTTCAAACCGACAGATTTGCTAAGTCTTACAAAATTTTTGTGCTTAATTTGGAAACTGATTTCAGTTAGGAAGACTCCCTGATATAAGAATTGTTATTGTTTTTTGTAGCAAAAAAAAATCGTAAAAATAAAATGTATACGCTACAATCAGGAAAGATTTTCTATTCAGATTTACAGATTTATTTTATTTACATTTCTTAAATAATAATCTAGTCATAATCATAATCAAAAAAAAATCGTGCTTAAGTGAGTAAGATTTCAATCAAAAAATATCTGTATCTGATTGTAAGAATATTAAGGCATCCAGCAGCAACCACTTATAAAAAGAATCTTTCTTAACTGAAACATGTAGCAACCATATAATCTTATATAACACTAAAAGCATGTACACGACTAATACCACTACTAATTTGCAATACAGCTGAGCTATGTGGCATTAGCAAATACATATTTGCGCCATGTTGGGGCGTTTGTTGGCTTCGACACAAATAGCTGTAATAAATAGTCATAGTAACCCAGTTAAACAAAAAAAAAACTGTCTGCGAATAATAATATTCGCTTCATTTAGTCAATCAATCACATCATCAATCAGCCAAGTAGTCTAACCCAAGCCAGTATTTTTGCTAGACACAAACACAGACAAAGTGTGAAACTAGAATTCGGCTGTCTACTCACAGAAATGTTGGCAGGATGACTATTTTTTTTATTGCTGCCTATTTGCCTTCCACACTTTGCTTATGATTGATTACATCAAGTTTCTTTTTTTTCTTTATATTCGTCAAAATTTAATTAGTGGAATGTTCGCAAAAAGAAATTCAATTATTTATAGAGCACAGTTTTCAGCGTTTGAAGATTTTTTTAGGGAATTGTTATTTTTAGCATTACGGCAGCGAAAAGATTGATAAATGCGATTTTCTCTTGGTGCAGAACTAATTGCATGAATTTTGAGCGAAAATCGTTTGTAAATGTAGTATTATTCTACAGATCAAAACATAGTGAAAACGGCATTATTTGTACAAGTTTGTTCTGTTTTTTAATAGAAAATACAGTAAATTATGTCCAATGAATGTAGAATAAGTCTAGAACATAATCAAGGAACAAAATGACAAAGTTGTGCAAATTTTAAAGTATTCGAATACACTGTGCAGAAAATCTGCATGCTGTGCATTAAATTCCCAGTAAAATCAGTCAATTGAGAGAAACTTTTTATTTGTGGAAATGGCTCATTACTTAAGCTTAAAGTGACTTGCAAATTGGCTCAATAACGGATGTAGCCACATAAATATACGTAATTCCGAAATCCAATGGAGACCAGCAGCGGATATCAGCCCATACATATTATATATCAACCAAAATGACAACAACAACAGCATTGACATCATCATCATCATCTCAACATCATTGTGGCTGTCATCAGAATTTGCTCGATTTTTTTTATTTCACACACATTTTTGCATTTTTCTTCTTTTTTTTTTGTCGCAAGCAATTTTTTTTTTGGCCTTGACAGAGGCCAAAACGTGACGATTACTCAAGGGAGCTGTGTGGGTGTGTTAAGGGCACCGGGAGAGAATGGAAGGGGCGGGGGGACATTCAAAAATAAAAATCCATTGCACTCATACTTGGGCAGCATTTACGAATATTAAAAGTTGCCAAATAATGGATGTAAGCACTTGTCCCTGAAATAATCACATGCATTTGTTGCAGTAGCTTAAATCGCAAATGTAATTTGCTTTAAAGATGCATAAATGTATTTCATTTACTATTCGCTAGAGAATAAACAGTTTATATTAAATAGTAATATAAAATATATTTATTGATTGCAACAACCATAAATCACATAATTTATAAGAAACTCTGAAAAGACACTTTTCTTAACTGCTCTTCTATTTTGTGAATTTATCTTTTGCAGAAATGGAAATCATTCCTGAAGGTAGACACTTTCGTTTGGCGCATGAATCAGAGCTTCCAGAAATTTTGGTAACTTTAGAACGCTATCTGCCGGAATCATTAAAGGTATGTGTGCATCTGGTATAATCCTAGATACCTATCCGATAACTGCTGCCACTTGAAGTGTGCATAAATATTGTGCTGCACAGTTGCATGCTATTGAGACTGCTATTCGCTTTCTCTTGACAGACACGCCCCCTTTAGCAACAATTACCAATTCAAGCGACGGGGGGTTGTGCGGTGTGGCGGGAAGGGGTGTTATTTATCAGGGCCAACTACTACCGGTAGACCGCATAGACATGCAATCTGAGCGACCCATCGCTGATTGTTGACCTCTTTTCCACTCATTTCAATTTTTAATGGCCCTCGCCCCGACCACCTCCCCCACCCCCTTGCTCCCACCCCTTCCGCGACGCCATTCCAGACGACATCACGTGCCCAAGGCGTACTCTTTCGAGGGGGGAGAGAGACAGAGATATAGACAGAGAGAGGGAGATAGAAAGAGAATGGATGTTGGTGTTGCTTAAAGTTTCGATTTTTATGCAACATTTTGTTGGGGTGCGTTTAACACGACACACTTCGGAGTTGAGCAACTAATTTAGTGTTATAGAGGTGTATACCAATCTTAAGTTGGGCAAATAGCTTGCAAATTATTAAGCAGAGTGCCATGGGCGTAGCTCAAGTAGTGGGAAAGAGCGCCAGCTACCCTCCCTAAATGAAAAACTTTACATAAAGTCTTGTGGATACAAATATATGAAATAAATGCAATTGCCCATTGAAAAAACCCGCCTTACAAAATTCGGCACCCTCTTTGCGAAAAGCTGGCTACGCCCTTGTTCATCCGGCTGGCCTTGATAAGCATAATCAATATACAAAGAATTTTCCAACCATATGGTTGCCTATACCCTGAACCCATTTGAAATGAGTTAAAAGCGTACAATGATATTGTTGAAGAGTATGTAACTGGCAAAAGGAAGAAAGGAATCTCTGATCCCATAAAGTATATTTATTTTTGATCAGGATAAACAATCGAGTCGATTTAATCTCGTTGAGACTTGGATCGAGTTTACTTCACTTTATCGATAACTCCTGTTTTCACAGTATCGATAAGAATCGAAGCATGACAGCAACAAGAACCACAATTTTAAGGTAATATGTTTCAAATCGGGTTTGTGTATACCTTAACATAAAATTGATTAATTACAAAACAAGGAAGCAGTCGTGGATTGCAATATACTTTATTATTTAGAATTTCTTCTTTATATATCATATTTGAATTAACAATAAATGTATAATATTTGCAGTTTCATCAAACCATTAAAACGTACCTGAATGATCGTATTTGGGATTTTAAATTTTATGTTGCTAAAGATTGGCCCGAAAAACCAATAATACTCCATTTTCCAGGATGCACGCTTACGGTAAGATCAATTCGTCTTCTTCTATCCATATTTTGATAGTTTAATAATAAAAAAACAAAACTTAATTGTATTTGTTAGCCGCACAACAATATATACCAAACATTTGGCATATTTTGTCCATCCGCACAAGTCGAACATGTCGATCTGATGCGCACCGAAGATGTACTTATAAATTGGCAGAAGCCATTGTACCTGAACTTTACGCACATCGCTATTATGAATCGCCTGGATGATTTCTATTCGAAAATGGGTCTGATGGAGCGACTAAGTGGTGATATCTATGTATGCAACAAACTCAATACGGAACTGGAGCTAGACCCATTGCCAGACGATGCGGAGATGCGACTGCTGACATTGGATAACGTTCAGGGCATATACGATCTATATCCGGCCAATGAGATTGAATGTGTCAAGCTATTCGATATACTCGTCCGTGTCCTGCCCGGTCTGGGTATCTTTCGCAAGGATACCAACGAGCTGGCCGCATGGATGGTCCAATCTTACTATGGCGCTATGTTCTCGATGCAAACATGTCCAAATTATCGACGCATGGGGTAAGAGAGAGTTGCAGTTCTTTGATCACCCACATCAGCTACACTCATATATCACTTCTTAGAGCTAGAAAAAATGTGTAGTTTCCAGATCGTTTTTGCTTTCTGACTGAATGCAGCTGTCTATAATAATTAAATTTCTCTGATTCCAATTACAGTTATGGCATTCGTCTGGCCAAGGCATTGACTCAGCTCGTGATCGAGCGGGGATATACACCCTTCGTTGTTATACGTCCACAGAATGATGCGTCCCGTAACCTGTATACGAAACTGGGCTACGTGAAGGCATACGAGACATGCCGGGTGCGCATGACACCGGATTGCTATGAGGATAGCACCGTTGGCACCATTCCCAACACATCGTATGCCAAGTTTCCGCCACTACCTCAGGGCGAGTGTGTTGTTGTCAATGTTGTCAATGTTGTTGTCGCAATGCGAAAGCATGTGCCCGGCGAGAGCCAGACGGTGGACGATGAGGGCATCGAGGATATGTTGGCTGACAAATGTGATATCAGCAACGAAGAGGCTAGAGAGCGTAAGACAACAACTGATGAGGGCATCGGGGAGGATAAGTAGATGGTGGCTCCAAGAGCCATCAAATCAGAGAGTTACAGATTGAATTTGGAAGCGCTACACATACATATATACACATGCATAGACTACACACACACTCACACACCCAAATATGCATGTATATATGTATTGTGTAAGTTGTAAGCACCTAGAACTAGGCACACCTTTTAGGAGGAGGAGGGGAGAAGTGGAACTATACTATTCCTTTGTAGTATGGCTCAAAACTCGATTGTCGGACGTCGATTGTACTTATTCATATAAGACAAAAAGCAAAAAAAAACCAAAACAAAAAAAAAACATAGCAAGGCACAAGTGGCGTTAATTTTTTAACAATTATATAAAATAAAAGAAAAAAAGAAAATCTAAGAAAAACAAAAGTATATCTACATAGTATTTACATATATGTATGTACGAGTATATTTATAGATGGTATATGAAGCTTCCTCACACACACAAACAAAAATAAGCGCAGCGTGTTTTCGATAAAACGAAACAAATGCTAAAATCGAATGATGAATGTTAGTCAGAAATGATTTATTTTATATACATAACGAACTAAACAAAAAAAAAAAAAAAAAAACAAGAGCAGAAACGGAAAAAAGACAGAGGAAAACAACGTAAAAGGTACTTAACAATAATTAATGGAACACGCTGTTTAGGAAGGTCAGATTTTTAGAAATTTAACAAAATGAAAACTTTTTAATTTTTTGCTAAAAATGCTTTTACAAAAATGAAATCCAACAACAATTGTAATGAAAAAGGCTCAGTGCGGACAACAGGAGCGTATAAATTTACTATAAAAAACTATTACACACTAAAAAAAAAGCATATATATATATATATACATATATATATATATATATACATATATATATATATTAACTTTATATATCAAATTGTTAAAAAATTAACACAAAACACACACAGAAAACTCTAATACTTCTCTCTGGCTCCACGCAAACTCAGAACAGGTAATTAACAAATTTTTGGAACATAAAAACGGTTTTGGTACCAAACATATATAGATATATATATATATATATTTTATGATGTGGGCCATGCGCTCAAAAGCTTTCACTTTTCTAAGCTAATTTCTCTGCAAAGAAACTAATTTTCCACAATCCATACACACACATATATATATATATATATATATATCTTAGCCATGGCCCATGTGGCGAAATAATGCTTTGATTTTTAAAGTATGTTCTTGTACTAACTACATTTGGATTTATAGGCTTTTTTCAAATTTATATATACCCAAAGGCAAAAAAAAAAAACATAAAACCAACAAAAAAAAAAAATGACAACAAAAACACAAATATATATTTTATTATTATGAAATTTTATTAAAACTATGCAAAAGAGCACTCCAATGATTTTTGCTCCTACATAAAACCAAAAACATAACAAAAAACAGATACGAAAAGAGTATTTTTTAGCCGAACTAAAAACCAAACACGCCAAAGATGTCTTCTGCTTTATTTTAAGTACGTACTTACTTACTATGCAAAGGTAACCAAATGGCTAAACTCGCGAAAGATGCAGAAATGTGTAAACCCATTGTTAAAATGCCGATAAACCAAAAGAAAAATACACACAACAAAATACAACAACAACAACTCCTGTTTGCCTTTGCCTATTGAAAAACAATTTCAATTTCCATTATGAAAACTCCAAAAATATATACGCAAGAAAATCAAATTTAAAAATGAAAACGTTATATATTACAACTGCTATATTGTATGTACTCAAACTAAAAAAGAAAAACTTTAAAAAAAACTGAAAGAAGCAAAAATAAATAAATACCAATATTGAGACAGCAGAAACGATTCATGCTTTTTTTGTACATCACCAGGAATCCATTAAAAATATGTTAAATGCTTATCATAAAGTTGTGCATAAGTAAGCATCTCTGACCCCATACAGTAGATATATATCCTTGATCATATAGCTGTTTCCTTTTTTCTGCCGATCTACAGACGATCTGCAATGTTTGTATATCATATTTATTTCACTTAATCGATCAATTTCCACGTTTTCCCAACATCTTCGAATCGATTTTCGATAAGTCATAAAAGCCAACATTTTAAAGATATATCATTCTATATCGAGTAGGTAAATATATTGACAAAATATTTATAATCCATACAAATTTCATTAAGATTGAAAAATATCTAAGATAGGTTAAAACTTGTGCTTAGTGTATCTGCTAGTCGCGTTCTCTCTCTGGACCATACCATTCCTAATTGTTATCACTACACTTAGAGATAACAAGCAGAATTGCGCTCAAAGTTATCTGTTTAACTGCTGATTGCTAATGAAATTTACGTGTACAAACACATAACACTCGCAAAGTCAAACAAACGCCAAAACCTTGGGGTAAAATAAACAAGCTGCTCTTGCAAACTTTTGATGGGCAACTAAAGCTGGGGCAAAAAAAAGAAGAAAATTCTTAATTCCAAATACATATGTAACTAACTATTTTGTTATGTTAGTCCCTTGAGAAATGCAGAATGTGTCTAAACATTTTAGTGGCATTTTACACACTTGAAAAAGTATACAGTTAACTTTTAGGAGGTATGTATTTCTGTATAAAGAAGGTCTGCGGTACGTACATTGTTTAAAACTAGGCAAACTGGTTAAGGAACCGGAGCATTCTTTAAGTCTGCTCCGTTTGCGAAGGCTTGCTTAACAGTATCTTCAGATGATTGGCCACATATTCCCAATACTTGCGACGAATGACATCATGTTTGTTGGCCATATCAAGGCACATTGTGTTCACCTTTTGTGCAGCCTCGCCGGCACTGGGATCTTGCAACGCCTGCTCCTGGTATAGATCAATCAGGAATGCCATCAAATAGGGAGAACGATTGCCGGCATTGTACAATCCCTCGCTGAATGCCACCACCGCTGAATTGCTATTCAGTTGCCCACTCTTGCTTTGACGCAGCACACCCACCAAATAGTTCCAGGGACTTTCGTTGTTTTTAATCACACGTATGCGATCCATGGCGTAGGCGAGTTCCCGTTCTATCACCTCCGGCGTAAAGCCGAAATGTTTGACCACAAAGAAGCGCTGATTCCAGGCCGAATTGTTGCGCGGATCCTCGCAAATCAATCGATCGACAAAGTCCAGCTCGTCATCGTACAGACTGTTTGGGCAGATATAGGAAAGTAAAATTAAGGTTTAAATCTCTCACATATGGTTTACCCATTGCACATACTTGAAGGTGCGTATGGCCCACTGGCGATGCTGCCAGGCATGATAGTTCTTTGCATTGCCATCGTTGTCCAGGGCATTTTGTGTCAGCTCCAGCTCGAACTGAGCATTGTTCATCATTTCGACGATGACGCGTCTGTGATGCCACACTTGATAGTTCTTTGCATTCTGGCCAATCACCTCCTCCAGATAGTCGAGTTCATGCTGCAGATTCGCATCCAATTCACGCAATATGTCACGTCTGTATTGCCATACCGTATAATTGGCCGGATTGAGACGCAATGCTTCGGTGGTCAGATCCAAGGCACGTTGCGACTTCTCACCCCGGGCAATAATGGCACGCATATAGTCGAATACCTCACGAACTAAAATCAAAAGAATCGCTTAATGAAAGCATGCCAGCTAAACTCAGATTTGCTTACATTTTGGCCGGTACGATATGGCCACAACGGGATTGGGGCCATCGTCTTGGGGCAGTGGCGTCACATCGCCCCAATCGGCACGCTCGCTATATGGCACCCATTCGGCGTGCAGATATTCCTCGTCCGAACTATCGCCCATTTTTCAGATATGTGCGTACAACTCAACGGAATACACCAAAATGATGATAGATCAGTCAGCAGTCAGCTAGTTGAAATTCTACGTGAAAGTGCAGCCAAGCAGCACTCAAGTCTTTGAAAATTCAACAGCTGACTCATGTGCCACTCACCGTGCAGCGCCTCACTTTGCCATTCGCAGCGAAGGGGCAGCACTTTAAATGTATTTAATGTGTGCACGGTTTAAAGTTGAAATCTAAGCCAAATCAAAAAATAAACACAATTTTTGCTTGACATACTCTATATACTTTATATTATATCACACTGTCATTCACAGCGCATTTTTTTAATATGTTGCAATGCAAAGACAAAAACACTGTTTTTGCTTGACATACTTGTAATTCTAATCTATATCTATTAATATGAATGCACCGAAATATAAAACTCTTTTATTCAAATACAGTCGAGCAATGAATGTAAAAGAATAATTCGAAATGATTGTAAGAAAGAATGTAAGAATGTACATATAAGGGAGGATTTTGGGTGGGAGGGGGCCTTTTCAACGTTTGAGTTGAATAGAAATTGGAATTTGGATGTAGCACTTATATAAATATACATATAAACAGCTAAATTCTTGATCGGTTCCTAGAACAGAGGCTCGTTTTCTATTTTAACATCGCACTCGATGATAGAACTGTGCGCTAAAAATGTATTCGCCGCTTGTAACGTGCTTGACAGCCCATATCTGGTGGAATCCGTCTCCTGATCACGGCTATGACTATGGTTTGGTGCTGGGGCAGGGATTAGTCTTGGCATCGCTATCGCTGCCGGTGCAATCTGTTGCTTCTCCGGCTGATTGAGATCCATTAGTAATCGTGTGACTTCCATGCGAAACTTCATGTTATTCATCGGCGTTAACATCTTCACATGTGGCAGCAGGCTGACGAGAAAACTACGATCCGGATCAGCAGCGATATCTGATTCGGAGGCAGGCAATGGCGACTCTTTAAGGCTTTTCGCACGACTGCGACCATTTTGGTATTGTGTTCCATCCGTTGAGGAAGAAGTTTGGCGGCGACGCGCCCTCTTCGCCGGCGGATCTTTAGGCAGTATCGGTGATAGCAATATGGGTGATGTTTCCACATCCGATCTGTTTATTGGCGTTGACTGATCGAAATGATGACCGTTAATTACACACAATTCCGAGCCGGAATCGTTGCCATGTGGCTCTAAGGGTTCTCGTTTGAATATATCACCCATTATCTCAAAATCAAACGAATTATCATTATCCACATCGATGATAAAGCTATCGAGATTATTTTGCTCCTGCTCGCCACCGATCAGATCGATGTCAAAGGGTTGCGGCTTAAACGGCACCAAATTATCCGGATCGAAAATGTTACGCATAAACTCTAAAGAGCGAAAGTACAGCCAATGTGAGTTCTCAGTGCGGCGTTTCTGTATTTTGCGTATCTCGCAGCGATAGCTGTCCCGTAATCCCTTAAAGCGTTTCTTGCACACCAGCACTGAAAATCAACACACACAAATTGTTATTAATTAATCAAAAGTAGTTTAATATTGAGGAAGACTTCTCACCGTCCAGATTCATAATGTTGGCCACTTCCTGCCATTGGATGAGGCTGATATCTTTGCGATCGACCAGCTGCATTGTTGAATCCCACAGAGCACGACGCTTTTTAACTTCAACGATCAGCCGAAAGTTATCCAATTTCATTTTCAACTTAATCGCTTAATAATTTTTGTATCGCGTGTAAATAGAAAACCAAAATTCCTCCGAGCTGATCGAAATTAAGCACACGAAATGCAGCCGCCGCTTTTGCAAAGCAAAATTAAGCCCAACATTCAGTTTTGATGCATGCACAAATTGTTTAGATTCTTACAAAAAATTGTCAACAAAAAATATACAAATATTAAAGATTAGCTGCAGTAACATTAGAGAGTAGTGCTGTAAGGCAATTATTTACCGTCATTTGCCAACACTGGCACAAATCAGCTGTGCGACACACTCGGCTCAAAACTGTGAATCATATTTCGGGGCGAACTGTTAAAACTACTAACACAAACACAAAAAAAACAAAGCGAGAATTTGATACTTTCTTACGACAGCCGGCTGTTGAAAAAATCTAGAATTTAATAACTAAACAAGAATGTTGCAACAAAGTGATGATTGCAAGGATGATGACTTTCCGGCGAATACGCTGGAGCACTTTGCCGAATTGGAGCAGGTGCTGCAGATGATTGACACCATGAAGCCCATAGAGGCAGCCTCGTTTGAGCGTGAATTTGAGCAATATACGGAAGTATTGACTCGCTACCAGGAGCAGCCACATCTGCTCGATCCACATCTGGAGCTGATGCTGTCACGTCTATTGCACAAAATACGCCAGACTGATTTACCGGCGGGGGACCGGGATGCGGCCTTCAAGTATTTGTATATTATCTCCAAGGTGCGCACCTATAAAGTTCTCATCAAGTTCATGCCACACGAGCTGACCGATTTGGAGTTTGTGCTGCAACTGCTGGGTCAGCAGGATCCGAAGGAGTTCAGCAATTGGGAGACCCGCTATATGCTGCTCCTCTGGATGTCCATATTGGTGATGAATCCCTTTCATATGTCCCGCCTGGATGCCTACGAGACAAGAACAACAGCAGCTGCAGGTGCAACTCCGACTCGCAACAACTGTGTGGAACTGAACAATCATTCGACCAGCTTGCCGCCGGCGATAACCAAAATGGAACGCATCTTCGAGCTGTGCAAGCTGTATGCCTCCACGAATGACACTTGCAGCAACATGGCTGCCTATTTATCAGCCAAGTATTTTGTGCGCAGCGACATTAAGGATCTCTATTTGGAGCCATTCCTCGACTGGGTCATTGCACAGCATCAGGCAGACACTCAGCAGGTCAAGTTCGGACAGCTGGCTGCCGTTGCCGCCATTCTCAAGCACGGCAAGCGTGAGGATCTGCTGCCGTATGCCGATAAGCTGCTGCAGTGGATCGTCGCCTGTCCTTACAAGGATGTCAACGATTTTCTCAAGTACAAGTATTACGTAAAGATTGTACAGCGACTGGGTCTTGTGCATCTGAAGCCACGCATCGCCAGCTGGCGCTACAAGCGTGGTAAGCAAAGTGCATGGTATCTACCAGTCAATCATACGACTTACTAATGTAAATCTCCATCATCAACAGGCACCCGTTCGTTGGCCACTAATTTGGGTGGGCAAACCAGCGCTGCTGGGGATTCCAGAGCGGGCAATGCGGATGCAGAAGATGGCGACGGATCTGGCGGCGAGGAGATAATTGTGCCCGATGCCATTGAGGAGGTGATTGAGGAGCTGCTGCAAGCGTTGCGCAGCGGCAGCAACGATGTACGCTGGAGTGCCGCCAAGGGATTGGGCCGTGTGACCAATCGGCTGCCCAAGGCGCTGGCCGATGAGGTGATTTTCTCGCTCATCAGTATACTTAGACCGTTGGAGCCGCACGAGGCGTGGCACGGCGGCTGCCTGGCCATCGCTGAGCTGGCGAAGCGGGGACTCCTATTGCCCTACCGGCTGCACAAGCTGGTGCCGAGGCTGATGGAAGCGCTGTTCTACGATGAGATGAAGGGCTACATGTCCGTCGGCCAGCACATTCGAGATGCCGCCTGCTACATGTGTTGGGCCTTTGCCCGTGCCTACAACCCCGACGATCTGCAGCCTTTTGTGCAGCAAATCTCCTCGGGTTTGCTGACGGTTGCCGTCTTTGATCGCGAGGTGAATTGTCGACGGGCTGCATCCGCTGCCTTCCAGGAGAGCGTCGGTCGCTTGGGCAATTTTCCCTTCGGCATTGAGATCTCGACCACGACGGACTTTTATTCGGTGGGCATACGCCACAATTCCTACTTGAATATCAGTGATTTTATTGCCCAGTTCGATGCATATCGCCTGCCGCTCATCGATCATCTGGTGCAGCGCAAAGTGGGCCACTGGGACTCGGCGATACGTGAACTCACCGCCAAGGCGCTTCACAAGCTCACCTTTCGTACCCATTACAAGTATATGGACCGTGATGTGATGCCTCAGCTCCTGGCTAAAACCAACTCAATCGATGTGAACGCGCGTCATGGGTCTGTGCTGGCATTGGGTGAGATTACGCTTGCATTGCGTCGATATGAACTGGAAGGTCCACTTCCACACCCACACACAGTGGCCTTTCTATCCGATCAGCGTAAGGTGGAGCTGAATGATCTAATACAGACGTTCCTGGAGCGCGGTTTCTATCGCGGCATGAGCGGTGAACTGATGAAACTCTGCACGACCAGCTTCATACGCAACTGCAGCGTCGCCGAACTGACAGTCAATGCACAGTGCTTGGGTAAGTTGGCAGAGTGATCACTGTACCAGTTACCTCTAGTTAATAGCATATCCTTATTCCTTCTCTTACAGCCAGCTGGCAGCAGGTCATCGACATTTGTCTGGTGACCAAGTCCAGCAATATACGCGAATCAGCAGTGGATGCATTTGCGGAACTCAGCGGCGCCTATTATTGCGAGAAGTCGCGTAACGCTGACAACGAGCTCATCGTGAAGGCCTATCTCCGGGGTGCCGACAACGCTATAGAGGAGCACATACGCATGGGTTATTTGGCTGCATTGGGCGCGCTGCCCGCCTTCCTGATGCGTGCACATTTCAATGAAATCCTCGACAATCTGGTGAAACATGCGCTGATCCCGCAGGTTGCCTACGACGATCACGAGAATATCCAGACCCACAGATGGAGCGAGGCACGCGCCCAAAGCGTACGTGCCCTCAGCAAGATGGTGAAATCCGTGGGCTACGATGGGGAAAAACATTCATTTGACAATGAAGCGCACTTCAGAAAGGTGGTGGATTGCCTGCTACTGGCACTGGATGAGTACACGCTGGACAATCGTGGCGACATCGGTGCCTGGGTGCGTGAGGCTGCCATGAATGCGCTCTTCGAGCTAATCACCGAGTGTCCCAACTATATGCATGGCCCTTTCAATGTCCCTAGGATTGTGTTGGGTTTTATGCAGCAAGCAGTGGAGAAGATTGATCGTACACGCGGCTTAGCTGGTCGTCTCTTGTGTCGCCTGATCCATGCCCAGCCTGCCATACAATTTATACCTGCGTATGACAGACTCCTGGAGATTTTTCCCAGCGATGATAAGACCGTGCTGTGGCTCTTTGCCGATCACACATTCCCTCTATTCTGCGAGCTGCTCGCCCATCCCATTTTTTCCAGGCGTGTACTGCTGGGATTAACGGCCAGCATTGGCCAACTAACTGAATCTCTGGTGAGGTGTACTTCTATTAACACTCAACTCGATTTGTTCATTTAATTTATGTGATTTCAGACCAAACATGCTTCAACTGCACTATTCCAATTTTTGCGTACCCATCTGGAGGAGGTGCCACGTCTCTGTGCTGAGATTGTGCAGAACTTTGAGACTCATCTTTTGAACGAGCGTGTGACGTATCCAATGCTCAGTTTCCTGGAGATCCTCATTGGCTCGGGCACAATTGAAGCAGTGCTGCACGATGCGGACAATCCCTTTGCCGAGGACGTTTATCGTCTGCTCAATCTGGAGGTGAAGGGCTATAAGAAACTGTACAAGACGGCAACCAGTATTAGTACCTTCTGTCAGCTTGTGCAGGTGCCGCGTCTCAGCAAACGCATCCTCTCAAAATTGTCCGTATTCCTGGGATTGCAGCATGTCCATGTGCGTAAGACGGCTGCCACTAAATTGTATGAAGCTCTAGCATTGCACGGCGATGTCACCGATATACCCGAGGAGAATATAGATGACATCCTGGCCCTGCTGTCCGAAACTGACTGGACATTGCCACTGGTCGAAATTCGTCCGGTGCGCAATAAACTGTGCCATCTGATGGGCATCAAGCCGCCAGTTAGTGGCAAGCAAATAGCTGCTGCCACAGCAGAAACATAGAAATACAGTTTAACTTTTATACTCCCATTTAACTGTTAACACACAAAAAAAGGAAAATATAAATATTTATTTATTAACTTACCTAACAGCACGTTCGATTTGAATTGGGCGGGCAATTAAACGAAATTAAACAGTTTGTCATGCAGCCCTAGCGACTGTAGTGCATTCTGTTTGACAGTGTTAGTAAATGCCATTTTGCTCCTGTTGGCGCTCCATTGTGAATGTGTGTTTTTGTGATGTAAAATTAAAAGTCTTTCGAATTTCGCATTTAAAATAGATGTGTGTTAATACACTCGCGTCATATTCTCACAGAAAATTCATTCACATTAGCAAACAAAATCGAGGACAACTTTCAACGAGGAAAACAAACAACAATATCAAAGACATACACGTTTATACTTATTCGTTACACAAGAACAAACAAAAATCAAATAAAAAGCAACATAGAGATTTGTGTTAAATCGTTGTTGTTGTTGCCTCTGCCCTCTTGCACACCTGCCTTCCTGCCTGTCACACACAATAATTCATCATTGATTTGTTTTTGAAACGGTATTATGAGCATTTGGAGTGTAAGATGCCTGTGTTTCAAGATCTGTCGACAGGCGCACATATTGGCCAACAGAAAGCTAATACCGACGGCACAGAGACTTCCCCAGCTGGGCAACGGTAAGTGAGGTTAAATTTGATCTGTTAATACCCGGCATGATTTCTGATTTATATTCCTATTTTATTTATTGTTGTTCTTGTTGTTGCAGTTGCAGTCAACTATCGGCCGGCACACAACAGCTTATATCAAATGGTAAAAAAACGTACGCTCGAAGCACGCACCAAATTGCAAGCCAATAAATATCCAAATCACAATGCCTGCATACAAGTGGCCAAAACCGTGGAATTTGTGCCCGACTATGATGAGACACATCAGCACCAAGATTACTCAATCGCCAGCATTCAGAGTCCTTATGCATCCTTTGGTGCACCGAAAGAATCACCAATTCAAGCGGTATCATTTGCACTTTCATCTCACTTTCCCTGTCCATCGTTCATTATCATTTTGATTCGTCTTTGATGTCTTTTGAATTGATAATCTTTCTTCTTTTTGCAGGGCTATCTCAGCACTCGACTAAATTCCACTGCCCAGGATGTGCTTAAGTCGTCGCAATGTGATCAAAAGTCCCGTGAAAAGGGTGAAAAACGTGAACATGATCCATGTGCAGAATTTCAGCGATTGCGTCGCGAATCACTTGCTGGTGGCTCAAGTGATGATGGGGGAGTAGGAGGAGGACGTGCTCCTGGCGGTAGCGGTGGTGCTGGTTCTGGTGGCGATGAAAAAAAAGCAGCTGAAGAAAAATTTGAACAACTTAAGATGAAGTGCTTCATTGGAGCCATCGCTGCACTTTTCGCGGGTGGCTTTGTATGTCGATTATATATACATGTATTTGTAGGCATATTCTATAAGATCGTCTATATATATGTTTTAGATTGCCTGGCTACTATCGCGTGGCGAGAAGCGCAGTGGCGATGAGGTCGGCGACAGTCCGGACGAGGCGCTCAGGCGCGCTAAACTCACGGGTCAAATAACGAGTGAGTATCATAATTTATTACTGATGTATCAACTATTATATCGAGATTAATACATCTGCTTGCCGTTTCTTACTTAATTCTTAACCTGTATTCTCACTTTATCTGTGCAACCTTAGCGCCCAGCAGTTCGGATAAGATTCCCAGTCATGTGCCGTATTTAATTGTTGGCGGCGGCACCGCTGCCTTCTCTGCATTTCGGGCCATCAAATCGAATGATGCACGGGCCAAGGTGCTGATGATCAGCAACGAATACCGCAAGCCGTATATGCGTCCACCGCTCTCCAAGGAGCTGTGGTACACACCCAATCCCAACGAAGATCCCATCAAAGACTATCGCTTCAAGCAATGGACAGGCTCCGAGCGAAGGTAATCTTGAAATGAAGAATTTTAACATGTCTTCAATTGTTTACTTAAATTTTGCACTCCTTTGGCCAGCTTGTACTTTGAGCCCGATGAGTTCTTTGTGGACCCAGAGAAGCTGGACGAGAGTGTAAATGGTGGCATAGCCGTCGCTCAAGGTTTTGCCGTGAAGAAGATCGATGCACAGAATCGCATTGCAACATTGAACGACGGCTATCAGATCGGTTACGATGTATGCCTCATTGCCACCGGCTGTGCACCAAAAAATCTGCCCATGTTCCATGATACGGCGCCCAGTGTCCGCGAGAAGGTCATGGTCTATCGCACCCCTGATGACTTTGATCGCCTTCGTCGCTATGCAAAAGAGAAGCGCTCCATAACGATTGTGGGCAATGGTTTTGTGGGCAGCGAACTTGCATGCTCGCTGGCCCACTACTCCCGCCATAACAATGGCGGCAAGATCTACCAAGTGTTCCCCGAGAAGGGCAACATGTCTCGGGTGCTGCCCAATTATCTCAGCACGTGGACCACCAGAAAAGTGCAGGCACAAGGTGTCTGCGTTATACCAGAGGCTAGCATTAAATCGGCAACACGAGACGATTCCCAGCTGAAACTGGAGCTGAACAATGGGATGTCGGTGCTCTCGGACATTGTTGTTGTTTGTGTCGGTTGTTCGCCGAATACGGCAATGGCTGGTCCCTCCAAGCTGGAGGTGGATCGCACCCTAGGCGGCTTTGTTGTCAATGCCGAGTTGGAGGCGCGTCGCAATCTTTATGTGGCCGGTGATGCATGCTGTTTCTATGATCCGCTACTGGGACGTCGGCGTGTCGAGCATCATGATCATTCTGTCGTCTCCGGACGACTAGCCGGCGAGAATATGACCGGAGCGAGTAAGCAACCGAAACAATCCAATTTGACTCATATTACATAATTATATAAAAATCACTTCACTTGCAGAGAAACCATATCAGCATCAGAGTATGTTTTGGTCGGATTTGGGACCCGAAATTGGTTACGAAGGCATCGGCCTGGTCGACTCCTCGCTGCCCACCGTTGGCGTATTCGCATTGCCCTCCCCCAACGATAAGCGTGCTGTGAATCATACAGAAGCTGTGGTGGATACCACATCGAGTGATCGAGTGAAGATTATTGGCGATGGAACCGAAATGAGCTGTGATCCCAGTGAGGAGCCCAACTACGGCAAAGGTGTCATCTTTTATCTGCAGAACGACAAGATTGTCGGCATCCTGTTGTGGAATCTATTCAATCGCATTGGACTCGCACGCACGATAATCAGTCAGAATACGGACTACGAGGATCTCAATGAGGTCGCCAAATTGTTTGACATTCACGCGTAGTCTGACCAAAAAAAGAAAACCAGATATAATATCTACTACTGATGTATAAATATGTATTTTATTGATCACTGACGCAAACACTTCTGACGAAGCAACGTTCCAAGTCTTCAGATTATATGTATATACATATGTATATATATATATATATGTTTATATATGTATATATATTTAACCGGCTCAGACCACAAAACCAAAACAAAGGCACAATGCAGCATAAATTTAGTGTTAAATTTATTATTTTGGAATAAATAGCTAACTTCTTTTTGTAGTCAAACCATCGATCCACATTTGACTTTACCTGTGTCGTATCCAGATGATCTGCTAAAGTTTAACGAAATGCAGACCAAATATTCCGATTATAAGCCATAAATTGATTAAATCCCATGTCATTGCATAATTTATTATTGAGTTTTTCTTTGTTCTTTGAAACTACAAATCAATTCTTTTGTTGTTTTTATAAACATAAGCACTAAGTAAAAAAGAAATGGAGACTTTTCAACTTGCTTAAGCGGGAAATTGCATTAAAAATTGATAGATAAATGCGATGTGCCCATAAGATGCAGCGCACTGATTCACACAAGCTATAAACAAATTAAATCACATTTAAAATGTTAAATCAATGTACAAATAAGGCACTCGCCGGCAACAGGAGCAAGCTGATAAATGTCCCTCAATTGTTGTTGCCTTTTTTGCAATACTTGGCAACCGACGCAGGAACAACCAATCATTTTTCATTCTCCAAACACTTTACACACAAAAATTGTATAACAAAAGCTTTATAGAAAGAAATTTTATTCCTATTTAAAATTGGCACATTGGCAGAGTGTCGCAAAGCGGCTCAACCAATTACAAATTTGTTGTTTTCACTTTACACATTAAAACTTAAGAAAAATTAAAAAATATAAAAATAAAAACATTTCTTTAATTTGGATATTTGGAGACCTTTACAGACTTGCGTCACCCACAGCAATATCAAACGGGAAATGATATCTCCACTTTTACTATGGTATTTGGCTCGTCAGAGTCAAGGATCTCTTTCTTATGTTGCGCTCAGCAATTGGATGCATTATTTTAGTTGCAGCAGAAAAAATATTGCTGCTTTGTATAAATATAATCAATGTTTTACAGAATTACAAAATGAAGCGGTCTGTTTCGGTTTTTTCTGGGTTTTCCCCAACTTAACAAAAAATGTTGTACCATTTTGCATTTAATGATTTAATTTTGTTTAATTTATTTTCTACTTTTTATAATTGTCTGTATCGACTGTTATTGGTAAATAAATAACAATAAATAAAGGGTATAAACATATGTAGAAATTTATGCTAGAAATTTAACTTCACCCAACGCGCTTTCCATAAATATTTATTGCATTTTACCTGTGCCATAAAAGCCGTTCAACTTTTTGCTGCCTGCGATAAGAAATTCAATTAACCATTCTTTCTGCAGCTGTCGCGAATTAACCCAAAGTGCCTGTTTCTTAGGGTCACAGGGATTAGCAGAATCGCAGCTGTAACTGCATCCTTTGCGGAGCAGGTAAATCCTTAAAGTTCTATAAAATCCAAGTGCACAGCTTTGTGGTTCAACAGTCGAACAGCAGCCAGCAATATGAAGAGTAACATGAAAGTTGTCGTTGTGCAGCCCGAGGAGAAGCTACAATCCATGCCGATCACATATGGTGCACTGGAACTGGAGGCAGCAGCCGCATTGCTAATGCTGCGCTATCAGTACGACATCAAAGTGGCACAGACGACAACAACAACAACAATGCCGCCATCACCACCGCCGCCGCCGACGTCATCGTCGGCATTGTTGCAGCCAACAGGTGGAGTAGCAGCACCAGCAAAAGTCGTCGTCGTCAAAGTGGACAAATGCACACCCAAGGAGCAGGTGTGCAGTGGCAATGCTGTGAATCCCATTGCGCAACCGCTCAAGAAACGCAGCATTCCACAGCATCTGCTACGACGTTCCTTAACGCCAGCAAAGTCAACGCCAGTTGCCAACAAAAGCAACAGTGGCAGCAGCAGAAGTGGCAGCAGCAAAAGTGGCAGCAGCAGAAGTGGCAGCAACAGAAGTGGCAGCATCAGAAGTGGCAGTGGCAGAGGCATAATCAAAGCGAAGCTAAAAGTGGTGCCAGCAGCGCCGTGCAACAAAGCGCTGCTCAAATCCTGTCGCAATATGATCCGCGAATTCCTGGACAATCAGGAGCTGTTCTAAAAGAAGTGAAGGCTCCTTGCCGAATTTCTGGACAATCAGCAGCTGTTCTAAAAGAACCCAAAAGTTCCTTGACGAAGACATCCCGCAAACAGTGGCAACATAGAAATAACACAAGAATCATTCGCCAATCTGAATCCTTACTGGACTATCAGCAGTTGTTCCAAAAGAACCCAAAGACGTAACTCAAAATAGATCATTCATTTCTGGACAATTAGCAGCTGTTCCAGAAAAAACTGAAGATGAATCAGAAGCTGTTCCGCAAAGGTCCAAGAATCCTTTAGCGCCTAATTGATATTTTCAGTTTTGATTTCATTTATTTATTGCATATATAAATTTGTTTCAGTTTTGTGTATTATTTTTCTTATTTTTTTATTTTTTTTATACATATCGTATCATTTATTGAAAGATAAGGGTTTTTTTCGATTGGAAGAACAGGTATTGTGGCGACACTAAAGTGCTAATTATTAGCTATTGGCGGTGTTTAAAGTTTAAACTTATGCGGTATATATAGACGAAAAAAAAACAAAACAAATTATATCGTTTTATATATATATGTATATGTATGTGTGTGTGTGTGTGTCGTACTTAATAATGCAATATGCGCTAGTTAATAATTAATAATTACAGATTTCTATGTATTTTTTCTTTTTTTTTTGTTTTGCATGTGTTTGCGTATGGTAATTATAATGCTAAATGTATGTGTGTGTATTTGTATATGAATAATAATAATAGTAATAATAATAATAATAAAAATAAAAGTGCCTTCAAATGTACAAAAGAATCATAATAATAAAAAGCCTATCAATCAAGTTTTGCAACTGTTTCTTTTTGTTTGTTTTAAGATCAAAGAGTTTTACGAGAAACTAACGAAATTGTTTATAAAAAATGAACACCTTTTGCTCGCCTTAAACATAAACTTAAAGACAACTCATACGATATTTAAACTAAATACAATACATAAAAATAAATACATATATATGTATTTGTATATATCCATATGTGTGAGTGTAGCTTTTATGTATTATTTGTTTTATAAATGGAAGCCAATGTTTCTTTTTACTATATATATATAGATCTATATATATATAACTAGCATAAGGGCCAATAATAATTGGTAATTGCTTTGCCAAAAACAGGAAGAACAGTAGTAGAAGAAGAAGAAAAACTGTTGCAGTTTTTTATGGGCTCATTTTGTTTTTGTTTTTTTTTTTTACATTGCTGTTTTCCTTTTTTTTTTTTTTTTTCTTTTTCTTAGTTATCACAATTAATTTGTTGTTGAAATGAAATTAATGGCGTTTAGAATTAAAACACTTTTTGCATGGGTACAATTTCTGTGTGTGTGTGTGTTTGTATATATTACTATAATTAACAATTTCAAATTCTTGTTTTTTTCGATTTATATATATATATGTATAGATCGATTTTCTAACAATTTTGTTTTCCATGTTACTTGAAACCATTGTTGAGGCAACATTGTAAAGCTCAAAGGTGACAACACTTACAAGCTAACTACATCTGAATAACTATATATATATAAATGTGTGTGTGTGTGGGTGTGTGTGATTTTAAACTTAATGATTGTTGTTAAGATTAGCATTTTATTATGTAGAAAATTGGCACATAACTCTGTAAATCGTTGAAGGCTGCGCTGCGCCAATCAAAAAACTACTTAAATCTAAACAAATTACACACAACAGCTTATGTGTGTATATATGTATATATATACATATATATGTGTGTGTATTGCATGAATGTAACTATGTGTGTGTGTGTGTATTGACTTAATTAAAGACAGCGCTCGCTCGCAAACTAGAATTTTACAGCACTTGTTAAGCTTAAACTTAAAAAACATATTTTGTTTTATGCTTTTTTTAACTGATTTAAAATACGTTTGAATGTTAAATTTAAAGAAATTCTATAAAATTGCTTACAGCATTATTGAAGTGAAGAGAAACTCGATAATAATATACTGAATACAAAAGTTCTGGCGCTTCAAAGGCAGATTTACAATTGAAATGGAAGCTTAACAAGTGCAGCGTTCCAATTTGCGAACGATCACTGTACATACATATATATACATATATATATATATATATATATATACATGTATAACATATTTGTTGTATGACATTTATGTTTACTATTTATTTATGTTTAAATTAAAATTGTTGCATGTTGCACACATTTTTTGAAATGACAGTCAAAAACTATTTGCTAATTGTGTGTTTTTTATGGTATTTACAAACAGGTGTGTGTGTATGTGTGTGTGTGTGTGTTAATTGAATGCTATTTGCTGTTATGCTGGTCCCATTTTTTGTTGGCAGCTGCATTGATTGCTCAGGTAAAGTTGTGGGGTGATTGTCATAATGTGGGATGTGTGTTGTGTGTGTGTGTGTGTGTGTTGAGGTGTGTGTTGTTGTTGTGTTGGTTGGCTAATTGCAGACTACTACTACTGATGCATATGCCGACTAAATGCCGACTCCTCGCTGCCATTGCAATCGCTGTCCATTGGCACAGGATGTGGTTGCTGCTGCTGCTGCTGCTGCAGCTGTTGCTGATCGAGTGCATCCATTGGTTTGGGTGAGGATGCATTGCTGCTGCCGTTGCTCTGCTCGGGCGTTGATTCCGTTGTTTGCTGGGCGTCTGCTGACGCCTGAGCCTGAGCCTGCTGCTGCTCCTGGTAGCGTATCAGCTTGATTGTCGTTAGACCGTCCGCATTCCGTATGAGCCTGCAAAGAGTTGCCAAATTAGCAAAACAGTTGCCTTCTTTGTGCCTAGGCGCAACTTACGGATAACAATCCTCGTTGCTGTTGGCTGTTGTTGTTGCTGTTGTTGTTGATATTGTTTTGCTGCTCACACTCAGATCGGTGGGCTTCAGATCCTCAGCCATGGCGCCGTTATCGCCATTCTCCAGCTTCAACGGATGAAATTGAAATTTGTCCACAGACGATGACGCAGCTGCTGCTGCTGTGGCAGGTGAATTCGGAGGCGGTGCCGCAGCGGCGGCAACTGCAGCCGCATTCGCGGACAGATAGTGGAAGGCTTGCATGAATAGCGGCGACGGTGGCTGCGGTCCATATGCGGCAGCTGCAGCCGCTGCTGCAACAGCTGCTGCCGTTGGTAAGCTCATCGGTGGCCCCGTCGCATTCCGTGAGGCAGGACGTTGTGGCGACAATTGCAATTGTTGCTGTTGCTGCTGTTGCTGCTGTTGTTGTTGCTGCTGCTGTTGCTGCTGTTGTTGTTGCTGTTGTGATTGCTGCTGCTGCTGCTGTTGTTGCGTCCAATTGCCAACAGCTGCTGGAGATCCTGGCGCCTGTTGATTGACAGCTGCTGCTCCTGCTGCACCTGCTACTCCACCAACTCCCCCACCACCACCTGCTCCGGCGCCCGACTGTGGCGTCGTCTGTCGCAGCAGCGATATATTCTTAATGTTCTTCAGCTCGGTGGGATTGCGCAGAAACTGGTAGCAATGCCGTTCGCCTTGCACCTTACGCAAGATGTTCACACGATAATAGTAGCGCAAGGCGCGCGACATTTTGTCATAGTTCATCGACAGATGATTCTTCTGGATGCCCCACAATTTGGCCAAGCCGGCGGGATCGACAATCTTAAAGACGCCAGTATCGCGACATTTCCATGCGATCAAATCGCTGTACTTCTGATTCCGATCATTGAGCAACTGTTGCAGAAAATCCCACAGCAGGCGGCCATCTAATCCAAAAACGTTGCGAAAGAAAGAATTATCGATTAGTTATTGGCATTTTATTATATATATATATATTTTATATAGTATTATAATAATACTTTTCAATTGGAGAGCGCAAATTGCCAAAGAAATGCATTAGAAATTGAACACTCTTTAAAATCACTTTTTAAAACTCAATATTTATCGATAAGTTTCGCTCTTTTATTTGATTCATATACAAAAATCACGAAACGGAATGGTAATGGAACATCTGCTACTGCAATCACTATCAATTCAATTATAAATCAAAATAGGGCCAAACTGTTAATTTCTTCATTATATTTATTTAGTTTAAGGATTGATGTGACTAGAAACCGATAAATATTTAATAACGATTTGAGTTTAAGTGGAACAGTTGGAAGTTAAGTGGAACACTAAATTCGATTGATAGCATGTGTTACAGCCAGAAACAGTTGACAGAAATTGATTTCTTTTCATTCGAATGGAATATATTTCTGCTGAAAGTCTTTGTTATCGGAAGCAACTTCCGTTGAGGAATTGCAAATGATTCTATTATCTATTATCTTATCAAAACATTTACTCAATTTATCGAGAGATTCTTACTTTATTGGAATGCTACGTTTCTACTTTATCGAAAAGAACTTTGTTTGTGGAATCGAAAACGATTCTCTTTTAGAAATGTATTTGTAATTCTTATTTTTGATTCAATGATTTTCTACTAGATAAAAACCTATTTATATATCAAACTATCGATACATACATATCGATAACTTCTCAATTAAGTAAATGAGCTTTCCCTTGATTGAAATTCTTCGGGGAATCGAAAATAATCCCATTTTGCTTTATCCATACATCTTATTCTTCAAAAAACTATTCATATATTATTCTATCGCTGTCTACTTATCGATAACTGGGTGTTCCTCAATGGTTTTAGCAATCGTTTGATTCTTACTTGTGTTGGGCTCAGAGTTCTCTGGAAAGAATTCCCGCTTGGCCTTATACATATAGCTGGGCGTCGTTGGGGCCGATATGGAGCCACCTCCCGGCGGAATGCCCACGCCCGTATTATCCAACGTTAGTTTCTGTGGCTGTTGCTGCTGCTGCTGTTGTTGCTGCTGCTGTTGTTGCTGTTGTTGTTGCTGCTGTTGTGACCAGGAGTTGACGAAACTGTTGGTCATCTGTTGCGTCCAGGTGGGCTTCAGATCCTTGTGAATGGGCGTGCCCGGTGGACTGCCGGTGCCATAGGAGGAGAGCGGCGCCGGTGGCAGGGCGCTCAATTTGTTGCAATTGTTGCTGGCGTTGTTGCTGTTGCAATTGTTGTTGCCGTTGCTGCTGCTGTGATTGTTGGGCTCGGAGTATTCATCATCGGAATCGCTGTGATTGCTGCTGGCGCTGCTGATGCCCTTCATTGGCTGCACGCCACCAACTGTTCCCGCTGTTGTTGTTGCCACACCTGTTGTGCTGCCAGCAATTGTTGTTGCTGCTGCCGTTGCTGCTGTTGATCCATTCTGATAGGTGGCCCCCTGCTGGGGCGGACTGCTCGCCTGGGAGTCAACCGATGGTGGCGGACTCAGCGTCACCGAATTGGGCGCCATAAAATGATGGGCAGCCATGTGGGCGGCTGCTGCTGCTGCTGAGCTGGTGCTGTGGAAGGGATTGCTGCTGAGGTTGCTGCTGTTGATGCTGCCGGCGCTGCTGTTGCTGCCGCCGCTATTGTTGCCATCGAGCAGCTGGGGCACATTCATCGGCGGCCAGGTGGGCGTCGGCGGGTGGCTGTGCGGCGACAACGGATATCGGCCGGTGGGCGTGACGGGGCTGTTGGGCAGATGCCATTGCATCATGTGCGATTCGATGATCAGCATTTGGAGCACATTGTGCAGCACATCGCCGGCGCCGGGACATCGATGCCCGAAATCGGCGCGTGTCAGCAAACACAACGCCTTCCCATTCATCTGGAAGAGATCAAAGTCGAGTTTGGGCAAATCGAATTCCCTCACACAGAAGCGCAGGAAGACGAGGACATCGTCGCGGCTCCACAGACGCGGATCGGAGGGCAGCGAAGGCGGCAGCTGTGTCTTCAGTTCGGCCAGTTGGCTAGAGGGGGGCGGGGGGCAGCGCCAAATGACATCGCTCCAGATGGGATTGAGCGGATTCAGTGATAGCTGTACTGGAAGCATTTTCATTTTGCATACATGCACAAACCGCACAGCAAATTATTTCTATTTGAGTCGAGTCCGTTTCGAAAGCCACAAAGATTGTTCTTAATCTGCAAAAGAAAATACAAAAGAGTTATTTTTATTAGTTTAAGTTCTTATAAATTGGAATGTATTTTTCAAATATAAAAAATATCAATAAATCTAAAGAATTCAATTCTAATCAAGCAAACACATTAAGTAGCAAGAGAGAGCGAGCGAGCGAGAGAGAGAGAGGAGGAGAGAGAGAGAGCGATTGGTTACCGGTCAGACAGACAACATTCGCATTCCAGGCAAATCAGATTTCTTCATAAACAAATAATCTCCGCAGGCGACGCATCCGACGAAAGAGAGATAGAGAGCAAAAGCGTGCAAAGCATGAGTCAGCATCAATACACTCACATAAATCACACACACACGCAAGTCAGTCGGCATTTGCTCTGGTTCTCATTCTCTTTGTGCGCTCTTTCACACTAAAAACACCCCCGCCGATGAAACGATCAGCATAGAACGAACAAAATCATACGCTATGCGCGTTCCGAGTTCCGTCTGTTTCCATTACGTTTCACGTTCCGATTACGATGACAATTAGCGCAGCATCAAAAAAATTCAAACACAGACACACAACACACGCACAGGTCGATAACACAATGGGCAGCATCGATACCCAATTTCAAATTCCGTTTGAGCTTTTTTAATTGAAAATTTCTCAATATGGTAATGGCCATAAATACACGCGTCGGCGTCGTCGGTGATGTCGATGCTTGCGCTACTATTCCGGATGTGTACAAAGCACACACATCGACAAGCAATGTATATGTGTGTGTGTATGTTTGTGTATATACAAATCGGCAACACATGGGAGCCAAGCACACACACACGCACACTTGCACACATCTTTGATCAGTCGCTGTAAGATTTCAACATAAACGAATGTATTGATGCCGCTGCAGATGGGGGTGTGCAGCGGCGGAGGGGAAACTTTGAAAGCCGTACCCAATTTGCCCCCACTCAGACTTTTGGGCTTGCCTTGCCATATCACTGCTAGCAGCAGCAGCAGCAACAACAACAACAGCAGCAAACGGAAGTGCACATTCCATACACAAAACCCGTTTCCAAAGCAAAAGCACAGCAGCAGCAGTGGAGAAAGAGACGACAACGACGACGACGACTAATAAATCCGCCAGTGGGTAAAGAGAGCAAAGCAAGACAATTTTCAAAGAAGCAGCACCCTGTATCCCAGTCGTAGACATATGCAAGACATACAAACACACACACGTGCACATACAAATTGAACTCATCTCTCGCTCTCTCACACAGCAGCAGAGCGAGCAGCAGTCGCAGCAGGCAGAAACTTCCTCATTCTCCGGGAAGCATTTCAACAAGTGAGCGAAAGAAATTTACTTACAAATGCGTGCGAACGAGCGAGCGAGCGAGATGCCGATGCAATGAGAGCGAGCAGGCGAGCGAGAGCAATAAATATTGCTTGCTTGCGTGTTGTTGTTGTTGTTGCTGCTGCTGCTGTTGAGCAAGAAGTAGGAGAAGACAGACGCACAATAACAACAGCAACAACGAACAGATGAGCAAGATGATAATGATGATGATGGCGATCATCATTTGCCGCGCTGTGGGATGTACACATGTTTATTTGAGTGTATGTATGTATATATATATATATAAATATACATATATATGCGTTATTGTGTACAAGTCTTTTACTTAGAGGGGGTCTATTTGTTTTGTTTCAGAGGTGCTGCTGCCCTCTGCTGATTGTATTATATATATACAGTGTCTCGCAGTTCAACTGGAACAGCGCCTAGCAAAAAAGTTAATTGCCTGCCATAAACAAATTATTCAATATTTTTCAAAAATTCCAAAGAACTATGGCAGGTACATATATTGACTACCTAAATGACTATATGACCCCCATAAACTGGGGTTTTCCCACCGGCTAGGTCGGGTTATGTAAAAAAGTACCTTAATTTGTGGTCACATATTATGTGGAACAATGGCGTTGTGGACACCTGGGTGCCATAAAACCCAGATTTTTTACGTCAGGTTGATTATTTTTGGTATAAATAGACCAATCCTTCGTAGTCAGATTAGTTATATCCTGCATCTCGAGTGCAACCAGCCAACAAGGACTATGTGCAAGCGGACTACCATTGAACAACGGAAACTGATCCTGGAACACTTCAGGATTGGATATTCATATCGCCAAATAGCTAAAATGGTAAATCTGAGTACCACAACTGTATTCAATATCATTCGGCGCTTCGTCGACGAAAATCGGATACAGGACAAGGTCAGAAATGCACCAAACAAGATTTTCACCGAGGAGGAGGAGCGGAGGATCATCAGGAAAATAAGGGAAAATCCAAAGCTATCGGCTCCAAAACTGACTCCACAGGTGCAGGATGAAATGGGGAAAAAGTGTAGTGTGGAAACTGTGCGCCGGGTTCTGCGCAAACATGACTTTAATGCCCGAGTACCACGGAAGAAGCCCTTTATAAGCGCCAAAAATAAAGGGACTAGGATGACGTTCGCCAAAACCCACTTGGACAAGGATTTGGAGTTCTGGAACACAGTCATATTTGCAGATGAGCCCAAATTCAACATTTTTGGCTCAGACGGACAAAATTATGTGTGGCGACAGTCCAATACTGAGCTGAGTCCCAAAATCCTAAAGGCAACAGTCAAGCACGACGGAGGAAGTGTCATGGTATGGGCATCTATCTCGGAAGCCGGTGACGGAAATTTTGTGTTTTTTGAAACAACAATGGACAAGAGTGTGTATTTCAATATATTAAAGGAAAATTTACTCCAAAGTGCCAAGAAGCTAGGAATCCGACGTACTTTCCAGTTCTACCACGACAACGACCAGGACAAAAGCCAAGCATAAGTCCGGATTAGTACAGTCCTGGCATATCTGGAACTGCCCCCACATGATAATTCCACAGGCCCAGTCTCCAGACTTAAATGTTATTTAAAATTTGTGGGCTCTGCTGGAAAATAACATCAGGAATCACAAATCCGATCTCAAAAATGCGCTGCTGGATGAGTGGAGCAAAATCAGTCCAGAAACGACCCGGAAGCTGGTATCTTCCATGAATAATAGGTTAAGGGAAGTTATTAAGGCTAAAGGGTATCATACTAAGTATTAACATCCTTATTTAAGTTTTTATACGCCTAATATGTTACTTTTCTAAGACTGTTCCAAAAAAACTTTGACATGTATTTTGGATATGTTTTCAGTTTTTGACTAATTTCAGTTAATTATTTAATATTTTAATAAAAACTGAAGCTTCCTTTTCAAACGTGATATAACATAAAACAAATTGGCATTTAAACATTTTGCGTTTATTGTTTTGTTTAAAAGTTATAGCACTTTAAATATTTTGCTAGGCGCTGTTCCAGTTGAACTGCGAGACACTGTATATACAAACACACGTACATTTATATATATATGATCCTACGTGTTATTTCGGTTGCCGCAAGAACATATGGTTGAATTTGACTAAAATAAATTCATATACATACGTATATATTTTGCTATACACAGAAAGACAGGCACCGGGCAGGCAACAACAAACAAACAAATAAACATTCAAACAGTCGGTGGCACGTAGTAAAATGACAAATGAATGTTCATCATCAGACCAACAACAACAACAACAAAGTGAAAGAAGCCAAAAAGCAGAACACAAAAAAGGCGACGCACACGCAATACAAAAAGAATAAGAATAAAATTACACACACATACGCACAAATGCATATGCGTATGTGTGTATTCTAAATCTCAGCGAGAGATGACAGAAGCAGCAGCAGCGAAGGAGGCGCGGCTTGGAGAACGAACACAAAACAGGCAGAGCAAAAGCAAGGGGTGGGAGGGCAAGAGGAGGAAGGGTGGAGGAGGGGGACAAAGACAACAGGCAACAGGCACAGGTAGTTAGGTATGCGGATGATGGCGAACCGGTTTCAACGGAAATTACAAACGAAAATTATAAAACGATCAGTTTAGAAAAATGCCAGCAGCAGCAGAGATCACAAAACAACAACAACAGCAGCAGTAGCAGCGAAGACAGCAAATAAGAAAAAGGTAAAAACTTGTAGAAAACTGCAGCGAGTAGACAGCAAGAGAGAGCGAAGAGTGAGCAAAGCAGAGAGCAAGGTGGGGGAAGAGAATGAGTGAGCGAGAGAGAGAAAGGAATGCGTATCTGTGTTTGTGTGCAGAAAGAATTTTTTTTTGCTTGTGCAGAGATTTCCGCTTTTAGCGAACAGACAGCGACAACGGAGCAGGGGGGCAGGGTGCGGGGGAGGTGTTGCTGGTAGGCCTGGGCGTGGGATCGGAAATGCCAGACTAGAAATATGGGAAATTGCCAATGGAAAATCAGGCAGGGGGCATCCTGTATACATTAGAAACTACGCTGTCAATTTACCATATCGATTAATCATGTGCTGCAATAAGCAGTTTTCTATTTGTTTTTTTCAGAAGTAGAAGTGCAAATGTTAGAACAAAACACAATTTTGTTCTATTTCAATATTGACTAAAAACTATATAATTAGAGCACTTGATCAGTAACGGAAATAGTGGAAAACTTTAATTTGGCATATATAAGTGATTCGATAAACCTAATGAATAAGTAAATAATAGTAATCGAATAAACGAATAATAATAATAAAACAGTAAACTTAATGAACGAAGCTTCAACAACACTAAACAATTCGTTTATGCAACTTAAGAATTCCGTAGTAAATCAACAGATAATAAACTTAGTCCTCTTTTTGCATAGTAAATGTTTTACTTGCAATCACAATGTGAACAACACTCTCTATCTGTCTGTCAAGTACACTATAAATTTGTAAGCACTTTGTTAGTCCTACTTCGGACCTGTTTCTATATGCATACAAGACGCGACACGACAGACATTTGATCCATCATTGCGACTGGCAAGTGGATATTATTTTATTTCTCTCGCAATGATTCACTAAAAGTGCAATCGCAGCATTTACTTTGCGGA